ATAATTTTGGTAAATACAAGATAGATTGTAACATTCATGGGTAAGGTTAAATTCCAACTGGTGTGTTGATTTAAATTGGCTTTATTTCATGTACATCAAAAACAAAAGAAGTGCAAAGTCTCATAGAGTTGATTCTTTAAAAAAAAGCAGCCATAGCTTCAGAAGAAGAGTCTGTCCCCTGCCAGTATGCCGTAGAGGAGGAACTTCCTCTCTACGTGCAAGCAATGGTCCAACAAGCCACCTGCTGAGCCAGCCTAAAGCGCTGCATTTAGCAGGAAGCATAAGGCAGGAGCTGTCAGACCACTGCTTCCAAACAGAGAAAAGGTCCCTCATTACAGCATACTAGCAGGAGGCAAGCTTTTCTATTCAGGCTGTGGTTGCTTTCTAAAGAAAACAAACTGTAAGACGTTGAACACCTTTTAAAGTGATGTACCTGGAATATATTTAGTGGATTTAATCTCAAAGCTCAGTTGGTCTTTAAGGTGGCGTAGTCCTCATCTGTTAATGCTAAAGAATGTCACCACAGCTTCTGGTGAAAGGCTATCGTTAGGTCACTGTTAGACTGGGGGCAGATTATTTCATGTACGTTATGGGAGCCTGCCTCTGCCCCCTCAATTTTATCATTTCAAGAGCAGATGTGTATTTGCTTCCATGAAACAAAATGTGAAGATTTCTGGCTGTAATATAGGCTCGTTGGCTATTCCGCTACCATGACTTGTTCTGATGATTGGCCCCTAGAAATTGTATATTTTCTTAACTTTTATTTCCAGTTTTAGATGATTTGTTGTACACCAACCTGCCCCCTCCCCTCAACACATTTTTATGTGCATATGTATATTGGAAGCAAAGTTTAAAAAATGGACACCTTGATCTAGACATTGCTCTGCTTTTGCAGTCAGTGGTTTAGTGCAAGGCTTTAATAGACTTATTTTTAAAACTAATTCTCTTCATCAGTTTATTTTTACATGTATTTTGTTACAATTAGGTTGATGCTTTTTGTAGTTTTGTAACACTGTGCAGTCTGTTGTATTTTATTTTTTTGCTTTCTACTGCCAGTGTGTTTAGAATATTTAAATAAAGTTGTGTTTTTTTATATATAAATGCTCTGTATTTTGTGTGTTTTTTTTATTGTGTGCAAACATTTAAAAAAATAAAATAATATATAAAAAACACACACACACACACACACAATAATCCTTTTTTTCCCCTTTAAGGCTAAAAACAAAATGGTCAAGTAGTCTCTGATGCTTTAAATTTGCAGTTCAACAGCATGTCACAGCAAGAAGAAAAAAACATTTAGTACATGTCTGCAATACATGCACATTTCCCCATGTTTTATCCTTTTAAACAAGCTGCAAGTGCAGAAAAAAAGTTGTTGATGTGCCAGGAATATAGTATGCTCCTACCTTTTTTGACATGACAACACTGCTCTGAATTAAAAAGAACACAGACCTCTCCTTATTATGTTGGCTGCCAACATACTGCTACGGAGCAAACGATGCATATGATTCTTTCTTTACAAAGCACTGCATGTGTGTTCTGGTGTGCTGCAGTATGTTGTCCTCTGCTGTACAGTGCATTGGAGTTCCATTTACAATGTATGGCACTGCCCATAGCAGATGTGTTGCACTCATCAGAGTCTGCAGCATCTTGGTTTCCACTGATCACCAATGTAAAGGTGCATTCTAGCTCTCACTACCACCTAATGGACAACTACACTGAAACCAGGTATACAAGGGTCTTTCTCTTCTTGACTATCAATGAAGGGACATTCTTGCTTTCATTATTGCCAGTGTAAGGGGTAACTACACTGTACACCACCTTTTTACACTGACCGCCAACATAAGGGTGCTCTTTTCCCACTGACCACCAATGTAAGGGGAGCTCTTCTCCCACTGACTGCCAACTTTACAGGGGGGCCTTCTCCCACTGATCAATATACGGGGGTCATTTTTCCCACTGGCCACCAGTGTAAGGTGGCACTTCTTCCACTGGCCACCTACGTAAAGGAATATGATTTTTACTGTCTGCAATTTCACTGCTCTACCCATTTATTACTGTTTGATTAAAGTCTTGGTTAATCATAAATGGTTTGGTCATATAGGGAGATGATCGGATATTAACTGCTTGAAATTCCTAATATGCCAGGTAATAGAGCAACCTTAGACTATGAAAATGGAGATTAGTACAAAGTCTCACTGAACATCTATTCCTGTGACTTCAGTAAGGCTTTAAGTCTCTTGCTGGAAGCTGCTTTGCAAACACAAATTGGAATAATGCCTTAGCTAGTGGATAAGTGTGGATTGCCACAAAGCATCAAGACAATGCTGAGCTTTACTATTAGAAACCCTAGCATGCTTTTCAATGTAATGGCTGCACCATTTTTTTTTTTACCTTTTATTCGTAAAATATGCAAATAATACAAATATACAAACATTGGTTTATAAACTTGTAAACATTAAAATTGAACAAACATTTAATTTTCCCTTTAAAGAAGACCTTCAGGAAACATTTTTATTAAAGGAGAACTATGAGATGAGTGATTTCCACTCACCTCATAGTTCTAGCAGACCTGTGACAATGAGACTGTCACAGGTCGGCTCAGTAGATCGGGAGGTGAGCGAACACATACCGGGTTCCCTCACCTCTCGATCCTGTCACGGCTCTCTGCCGTGACAGGGGGAGGGGCTGGATTCCCCTCTCCCCGCTCTGATCTGCCAGCGCTGACTGGCGGAACGGACGGGGGAGGGGGCGGGTACAGCTGGCTCTGCCTCTAGATAGGCAGAGCCAGCTGTCACTCACGCAGCTGGGCGGATCCCGTCATCTAAGTCGGGATCCGCTCCAGGTGCGGCGTCTCAGTATACCGCGAGCTGTAGCTCGCGGTATACTGAGCTTAGGGTAACGGGAGGACGCTAGTTTGTGTCCTCCCGTTACCCCAAGGAGAACTATGGGGAAAAACACTGACCCCATAGTTCTCCTTTAAACTAGAAAAAATGGTACATGCATGAATCTATAACATTTTTATTAACCCTTGCAGTGGGGCTACCCCCAGAATGCAAGGGTTAAGTGCTTGTCTTTGGAATAAAAAAAATAACAAAGTTATACTCATCTAAGGCCCCAAGTTGGTCGGCTGTCACAGCACTCCGTCCAGCCTGTCTCCTCTTAAGCTGCAGCATTGGAATCTTCCTCGGTGTCCTCACATCTATGCACTGTGTATAGCACATGCTGATTTACCGGACTTTAGACCTCTGCAGAGGAGGGGGAGAGAGGCTGGAAGAACCGGACTAAGGGTTAGTTCACACCAGAAACTGCATCACAACTGCGTGCGTCTGCGCAGTTGCACTGCGATGTGTTTTGATGCGCTTGCAATGCGTTTTGATAACTGCACTAAAAAATGCTAATTAGGCATGTAGGTAACTTCCTTTTCCTGTCAGAGCATTTCCTATGTTTGTTTTGTTCGTTTGGGAGCTCAGTCATGCTTTATTTGTTTGCTGGCATGTTGCTAGCTGGCTTGTTCTTAGGGCCAGTTCACACCATATGCAGTTGTGATGCAGTCCGTTTATTTCAAATATTTCAATATAAAATGTATTTTAACTGCGCAGTTGAAATAAACGGACTGCATCACAACTGCATATGGTGTGAACTGGCCCTAAGAACAAGCCAGCCCCATGGTTCAGGCGAGTATAACTTTTTTAACCCAGACAAAAACAAGCAGTTAACCCTTGCAGTATGAGTAGCCCCACTGGAAGGGTTAATACATGTTTCCTGGAGTTTGCTTACTTTTATTCAGAGCTGAACCCAAAACCTCTAATAGAGGCAAATGTCACTGCCTACATGTACTTCTAGTATCTAAATATCAGGATTAATGACATTTAGGCCTTGTTCACACCAAGCACGGAGCAGATCCAGACCAGAGCAGGTGCAGACCGGATCAAAACTGCGTCCAATGTATTCCAATGGTATTTTGGCATCCAGTTCACATCGCAGATCCAGAGCAGGTGAAAAAACTGCGGCAAGCCCTATTTTATCTGCTCTGGAACGCATCAAAAACGCATGCAAGTGCCTGAAAGCCCATGTTAAACTTTTTACCAAAACCGGCCCGGAACGCATCAAAAACGCGGCACAACCCACTGCACTGCGTGTGCAGAAACCTGACCGGATCTGCTCTGCATTTGGTGTGAAGAAGGCCTAAAGCTGGTTGCTTTCACATAAATAGAACCCTTACGTAGTACAGATTGCTTTTGAATGTACATATCAAGACCAAGAACAGGGACTACAAAGAGAAAGAATTGTGGCCTCAAAAGTGATGCTGTCCTACAAGCTGAAGCAGCTTTATACTAGCGGAGAATGCGTAACAACAAAGAAACAAAATACAGATGACAAAAAGGTACAAAATCCCCGTTATCTCTGCACACATACTAGCATTAAAAACTCAAACTGTTTTCAAAACTCCAAATTGAATATAAATTGCCCTGCAAAGTATTCCATTACATTGTTGCCCAAACACTTAGAGATCATGTTTCCTAACAGATGGCTCCAACTCTCAGCTCGGCTTCCCTGAACATCCTGTTCAGTGTGAGATCACAAACATCAGTGCAGTCTCCAGCAGCCGTCCATCTACTAGCTTGGAGGAACGGGAAGCAGGGGAGTAGTTTGCTGTGCCTGTATATTTGTGTGCACACAAGGGTGGCTCCCTATGAAACTTGCAAGGGAAAGGAGCCACCCTAAAACAGGATATTAGGGCCAGTGCTCAGGGGACCAGCTGATTCAGCAGGAAACTAAAATATTTAAACATCAAGGAGCAGCATCCATTGTAAGTGATTTAATCAGCATTTGAAATAACTTGAACACATTTTGATTTGAATATCACTTTAAGTCTTTGAGTAATAGGCCCATACATACCAGTTATGGCTTACTTGATTTTGCTCTGAATATATTTTGGGCACTTCAGGCATGTTCAGTCTAAACCACTGTTTAGTCTTTTCATAGGGAGAACTGTTTAGTCATTTTCATAGGGAAAATATGTATGAATTTTTGCTTTCTTGAATGTTGACATTGTTGTGTCAGATGAAAAATCTTTCTGTATCCATTGCTGGATTGCTCAACCGGCTCCATATGTAATCTGAATTAATCCTGGTTAAAGTTCGGGTTCATCACAGTGGTGGTAGCACTTTGGTAGAGTGGGTTTGGTGCCTGCCATCAGAAAAAGTATATATTTTAGTGATTCTGCGCTGGATCAGTGAACTGCAAATAATCTAAAATATAACTTGCTAATGTGGATAATTTGAAGGCTGCAGCAAAACTGACCTTCAGGTCAAATCATATGGAATTTGAATTATGCCGCGCCCACAATAATCAATCAATGTGTCAGTGTTGGAATGAACTGTGAGTTGATCGTGAACCAAATAAATATACAAGTGTGAATAAATATATCATCACTACATATAAAATCCCGTCATGAAAGAACATATACCTGCACACCTGAACATATTGACCTGCACAACCCCCTGAAGACGACGAAACGCGTGGGGGCGGGCCTATCTACACGCCATACCGAATACAAGATTCCGTTTGTGAGCTGCTTGTAAGCGTGTAGATAGGCCCGCCCCCACGCGTTTCGTCGTCTTCAGGGGGTTGTGCAGGTCAATATGTTCAGGTGTGCAGGTATATGTTCTTTCATGACGGGATTTTATATGTATTGATGATATATTTATTCACACTTGTATATTTATTTGGTTCACGATAAACTCACAGTTCATTCTAACACTGACACATTGATTGATTATTGTGGGCGCGGCATAATTCAAATTCCATCAGAAAAAGTAGTTGAGTAAAACAACACGATGTAAAATTCACAAACAATGTGCACACTTGCCCACTTGCGGGTGGGTGGACGTATATAAACGTCTTTTCTCACTCCTGTGCACGAACGTGGAACTGTTAGCCGGAGATGGCTGTTACAAGCGTTCCAGAGGCTGCCCAATCGCTTGTACAGTGCTGGGGAAGCTCCCTCAGCCGATGTCGGTTATCCCGGGCACGCTTCCCCCGATGTGGGACTGTCACCGTCAGGTCTCTTCACTTAGATCGGAGGGAGATCAGCACACTTCCAGCAGCTGATCTCCCTCTAATCACTGAATGCGAAAGCGATGTGTATTGCCTCACTTCCGGTTTCAGCCTGTCATTAATCCTGCTGCTGTAGCCGGAGAAGCTGGTGAAGCGGGATCTCTACTTTATCAGCTTTTTTGGATGTTCCTAGGTCAGGGGTAGGCAACCTTGGCTCTCCAGCCGTGCTGAACTACAAATCCCATCATGCTAATCCCTCTCGGAGTCATGCCTGTGGCTTGCAATGCCTTATGGGATTTGTAGTTTCAGCACAGCTGGAGAGCCAAGGTTGCCTACAGCTGCCCTAGGTGATAGCAGGGGTCTAATAAACTCTTGATGTCACCATAAGGAAGACCTGTCACTATCTGTGCTATCACATAGGGGGCTTGTGCCGCCCCAATAGGGGCATAGAATATGAGATGCATAGCCTCAGTTAATATTAGCATTGTTTTAGATAGAGTTATTATAGTGTGTTTTTGCCTAACTATTTTCCCCTTAGCAAATCCATGTCTTATCCTATGCTGCCATCTAGTGGCCTTTGTGATATCACACATGTATTTTCTGTATTTCTGTTCCCCATGTGACGACATATTTCCAGTGTATGTAGCCCCACCCTTCTTCCTGTGTGCAGTACTTCCTGTGTCATGGCCACAGTTGAAAAGCCACATGTAACAAGGACACACAGGTAATCTGCACAGTACGGAGGAAAGGCATCATTTTCTGACCGCACAATACTATAACCGTTCAACTGCTGTTCCTATCATCTGCTGTAACCTGATGTTAAAGAATAAACACCTCTTTTGAATGAATCGGTATTGACGAGTTCAGCTATCTGGCGAGGATTGTCCGCAGTGAGTATATCTGCTTATACAGGCCAGGCATAGAGGTCTCAGCAAGGGATATATTTTGCTATCACAACAATCGGAGTCAGAATAGGGCTTGTTAGCACAGACAAATGCAAACATGTGTTCGGTGTGCCTACATGCGAGAAATCTCGATTCCTTTAGCAAATCTACCCCCAATTTGTCCCCAAAATGCATTAGACTGGTTGTCTTTGACTAGCCTCCTCTGGAGCTCATAGCTGGCAAGCTTCCTTTGCATGTGGCTTGGAAAAGGACAGAGGTCAGCTAACCTCTTTGCTGACCTCTTAAATGTAAATAAAACATTCTTAAATACAAATACGCTATCTCGTGGCTCTTCTGAATAAAAATGGCTCGGCTGCTTTCCAATATTTACTTGTAAAGTTTCTAACCTCATTCCATTGCTCAGCATGCCGTGCGTTCAGGAACCGATTGTATTCCTTCCGGTCAAACATCTCCACAATAACTCGATATAGGATAATGAGGAGGAGGCCAAAGAATGCAATGCCCAAAACCATTCCCAGTATCAGACTTTGTGTCTGATCTTTAGTCTCTGTAACAAGACAACAACAAAAAAGTTTTCCTTTTAATGCTGAGACCTTTGATCATCGCTTCGTGATCAAATCAACATTCTTACAAATAGGCATCACGTAAGCCAATAGCCACCTTAATTCTCCTTGTATATTACATTTCATCAGAAGAACATATTTGCACTGGGTAATAAAATATAGCTCCATGGCAGAAATATCAAAATTGACTCTCTCCCTTGCTGTAACAGAAGATTATATACCTGAATAAACATTTACTCCATTATAATCCGCCAAGCAATATTTATAGCACAGAACTGCTACTAGCTTTGCATTGACTGCAAACTTTCCTGGTGACTCCATCTGGTAAAGATGTGTTTTGGCCCCCATGTCTCCTTCTGGGTCCCACAAAAGTTATAGAGGTTGCTATGATGATATCTACCCAACGCCTCACTTTTACATAAGTTCAACAGTAGTACAATAAGCAAGAATAAAACTAAGCCTTAGTACAGCTTCTAATTGGATTTTGGCATTGAAGTCCTAAAGCTTGATGCCAAGGTACCTATGCAATACTGTCCTAGCGTTCTCCTGTACATTGATGAAATGCCCCTCCTCTCCAACTCCCAAGCAGGTTGCAAACATGCAATTTAAGGACAGCACAAATGTATGGTTTGCACAAATTTTGCCTAGTGCTGGCTGTGTTGTGTGTGGACAGCAAGAACCAAGTTTCACCCGTTTCTAGGCCACTGCCAGTTTTAGCCCACACAAACAGAAGAAAAGCTGGCCGCACACCGGATTCCGCTGGGATATCTCTGTGATTAAGCCTGTGATTGGGTGAAATGCGTCAGAGGTAGACCTTGGGTGGGACACCAGTGAAGTGGCACAAGCTTCAATATACTTTCCCAGCTGAATCCAGTGTGGGGCCAGCTTTTCTTTTGTTTGTATGGACTCCTATTGGAGCAAGGATGAGCTCCCACCAGCAAGCACCCAGCTCATTCCTTTCCTGAGCTGTGGAGGAGCGGTGCTTCTTTTATGTGCTGTCCTATGTGCTGTCCTCATCACGCATTTTTTTCCCATGCTGAAACGCAAGCAAATTAAAATCCCATGTATTCCTATGGGGGCCGTTCACGCAAGCGTGCTGAATAATGCGTAAAAATACGCCTGTTGTTCGAAATAGTCCCTGAGCTTCTTTTGTGGCACTTATCAGCTCGTTTTGTTCCATAGACTTTAATGGAAACTTGCCGTTGAGCTAATTGTTGCATGTTTTTGAATGCTTTTAGCGTGTTTTTGCAGCTGAGCCTGCTTTTCATTGGACAGCTGAAAACGCTTTATCTATGAACACAAAACACCTGTAAAAGGAGCTTAAACACGCATAAAAAACGCTGAAAAACATGCCTAAAGCATGCTGAAGCGCTGTCGCCCTTGTGTGAATGGAGTCTCAGTTACTATCTTTATGGTTAAATGCATTTTTTCAAAAATTAGACTTTTTTTTTTTTTTAATTATCACCTTTTTTTTCCTTCACAAGAATATTTACACGTGTGGGATCATCAGTTTCGGTCACAAGGAATGTAATGTCCTTCTCTGAACACCAGTCCCTAGTTTCATTCCTTTCAGACTCTTTAACAATGGTGACAAGAACATGGGCGCAGGCGGCGGTGCAGTTATCCTTTATTGGTCCTGAATTAAATGCCTTGCATTCTGCGCAGTCTCTGCAAGGAGAAAATGACATGAAAAGCGCATAAAACTACAAAACAATACATTTGTTAAATACAAAACAATTTTCCATACTTTTAAAGTCACCTGTAAGTCACACTTCTCCCACTGATGAGAAAGAGGAGGTCACACCACAGTGGATACCAGCAGTGCTCATTTGTTGGTTAAACACACATACTCTGCAGTAAGGTGACAGCAATGTACTTGCTGCTGCAGAAAACCACACAGAGTGCTTAACCAACACAGGAAATGAATTCAATCATACAACATAAGGCCAGCAAAGCCTGACACATGCAACAAATTTTAGTCTCTCACCTATACAAAAAATCTGATCAGATAGTCTCTCTCTTGATGAAGAAAATTACACTATTGGTAGAACAAACACCAGGTACCCTTTGAACTCTGGACAGCATTGTTATTATTAACGCTTGCAGTGGAGCTACCTTGCTTTTAGATTGGTCTCGGGAGCGTCTCTCCCCCTCCGCTACAGCAATCTAAGGTCCCATAAATCATCACGTTCTACAGCCTTGGTTCTCAACGGGTGGGTCGTGACCCCGTGTTCAGTGGGTCGCCGGATGCCTTCCACTTTTCCTCAGCCTCTCCCTAGCATCCCGTTAGCGCAGCATTGTCCATTCTCACACAGAGCAGCCATTCAAAACACGCTGCTCGGTGCTGAGTGTCAGCTTGAGGTGGGGTGGGCTGGGAGTATGGGAGCTCCATCCATACTTGCATTAGTTGCACTCCCTAGCATATCCTGTAGAGGTGCCTGGACTGGAGTAACGCAAAACAAACGACAAACGCATTCAACAATTTGTTACCAGTTATACAGTAAGGTGCACACGAAATGGGCTTTGAACAGTGGTACAGTAGAAAGGCATCATGGCACACTCACAAACCAGCATGTAAAACAACTTGTCTCACCACTAAGGACAATGACAGAGGTTTGGATACACGTCTTCTGCAAAGGATGTGTAAGCCGCACTGCCGCGCCAAGGCACCTCTTATAGTGCGGTCCTAACTCTAAACTATGAGAGTCTCCATCTTGGAGCACATGGGGGCAGAAGATATCAAATTGGGTGCAGGCCTGTCAGGAGGACGCCCCACCTCCTTAAAGGTACAGAGACACACAAGGGATCACGCACATCCCATTGGCAGCTGAGAAACCCCATGCGTCGCTGCACCAAATCGGTAAAGCAAAACAAACGACAAACGCACTCAACAATTTGTTACCAGTTATACAGTAAGGTGCGGGATCCCTTGTGTGTCTCTGTACCTTTAAGGAGGTGGGGCGTCCTCCTGACAGGCCTGCACCCAATTTGATATCTTCTGCCCCCATGTGCTCCAAGATGGAGACTCTCATAGTTTAGAGTTAGGACCGCACTATAAGAGGTGCCTTGGCGCGGCAGTGCGGCTTACACATCCTTTGCAGAAGACGTGTATCCAAACCTCTGTCATTGTCCTTAGTGGTGAGACAAGTTGTTTTACATGCTGGTTTGTGAGTGTGCCATGATGCCTTTCTACTGTACCACTGTTCAAAGCCCATTTCGTGTGCACCTTACTGTATAACTGGTAACAAATTGTTGAGTGCGTTTGTCGTTTGTTTTGCTTTACCGATTTGGTGTAGCGACGCATGGGGTTTCTCAGCTGCCAATGGGATGTGCGGGATCCCTTGTGTGTTTCTGTACCTTTAAGGAGGTGGGGCGTCCTCCTGACAGGCCTGCACCCAATTTGATATCTTCTGCCCCCATGTGCTCCAAGATGGAGACTCTCATAGTTTAGAGTTAGGACCGCACTATAAGAGGTGCCTTGGCGCGGCAGTGCGGCTTACACATCCTTTGCAGAAGACGTGTATCCAAACCTCTGTCATTGTCCTTAGTGGTGAGACAAGTTGTTTTACATGCTGGTTTGTGAGTGTGCCATGATGCCTTTCTACTGGACTGGAGTAACGTCACATTCTGGCTCATGGCACCTCTACAGGGTTGGCATGGGAGCTGTACAAGCAATGCACGTATGGATGGAGCTCCGTCACAGCACAGCAGCCCACTCTGCCGTGTGTTCCACTGCTGTGCGACTTAGGTCGTGACTAAATGACCGAGGACAAATGTGGGTCCTGGGGTTACACAGGTTGAGAACCACTGTTCTACAGTATACACATTGTATAGACATGAGGACGCTGAGGAACATTGCAAGGCTGCTGCATAGGAAGAGAGAGGCTTCAGTGACTGGAGAAGCTGGCAGCTGACCCGGCAGGTAGGGTGAGTATACCTTTTTTGTTTTGTTAATTTGAATTATTTTTTTTTAGCACCTAGACCAAATGAAGCACTTAACGCTTGCAGTGCAGGGGGAGCCCCACTACAAGGGTTAAGAACACTTTTGCCCGAAGTTCTCCTTTAAAGGTGTTTAATCTACTTTTATTTGCTTTCCCTGTTTCCTCTTCTATCCCGTCGTCATCATGCTTTTTAAATTCTTAAATAAAACCTTTCTGTTTTACATACCATATTTTAGATCCAGTGATATCATCACTAGGTCTGTGCGGTTCTCTATGCATAAAGGCAGAATTATGGCTGGTAGGTGGGACAGACAGGGCGCTATACACAGATTCTTAAAAACATCACAGCGCCCTGCCTTAGTACTTCTCTCAAAAGCAGTGGGCTGGGGCTTAGGCAGAGTTCTGCAAATATTACAGTGCCTTGATTGGTGGGTGCCAATATAGAGGAGTGGGCATTCCTAGGCACACTGCATTAGCAGGAAGACTGCCCTAGGTAATGGCCACATGTGATTCTGAGCCTCCATATTTGAAAGAACTGAAATCTAATTAATTAAAGAGGTGGCCCAGGGCAATCTGGCTGGGAAGACAAGGGCCAGACGATGCTGGACATCCTTCAGCCAGGAAATGAAACAGGCTCTCTCTGACTTGCTGCAGCTTCTAATGCACATTGTGAGAAGCTCACAGAGTGCAGTGAAATCAGAGGAAGCAATTTCAGTGCCGGAGAGGAGCCGCTACAACTCTGCAAGACTGAAGGTAAGGCTGGAGTTTCCGCTTTAACAGAGTGCACAGGTCAAGTGGCCCTTGCATCACCTTCCTTTCCAATACCTGAGGTAAACACACCTTGGTGTAAACAGGTTAGCATACTCTTCTGGCGTTGTCACAGCACGTCTAAGTACAGTAAGTATATGGACAAAAGAGACAGTTCCGAAGCCAAAAGGTTAAGGGCTGGCAGTCGTGGAGGGCTCTTTAGGCCATTATGGGACCTTCACAGACAAACTCCTCTCTGCTTGCAGGCACTTCCGATCCCGCGGTGTGTGCACGCGTCCATAGACTTACCTTGCGTCTCTGCTCGTCTCCAGGCCGAGAATGTGAACTGCGCATGCAGTTTCATTTTCTCAGATGGGAGCGCGCAAAGATAAAAAGGTAAGTTTAAACCGCTGTTATAGCGGGGGGTTTTTTTAAAACTGTTTGCCTATATCTACTGCTTGGTAGCAGTAGATATAGGCAAAAAAACCGGGAGGTTTTAGAACCCCTTTAAAATTGTGTAAAAATTCATGGCTGGAGCAAGACTAGAACTGAGCACATGGCAAATCCCTCCAGTTTATATGCACCTGCCCAGCATGCAACACTGGTTGAGAGAGCCCCAGTGATCGGCTGGTGAACAGCACACACACTCACAGTGCTCCTCATTGGCTGTCCCACACTGCAGGAGTCACACTCCACCCAGGTAGGTACAATCAATGCCAGAACACCTGGAATTAACCAGATAAATGCCAAATACAATCCAGCCTGTCTGACTACAGCTCTGGCAATCACTATATGTCTAGTAGCCACATCACAGAAGATGATGGGGGCTACAATAGTGTTACTAGGTTATACTTATTCTATATTAGACAAGATTATACTGTATATTGTGACAAACATCCCCCTTTAATCAATGAGTGCAAAAAATGGATCGTCACACCAGTAATGCCAACAATCTTACCTGTGTATCTGGCATCGAGTCTTGCACTGAAAGCAGTCCTTACACTTGTCACTGGATTGGTATCCATTTTCACAGATACATTTGTTACATTTACAGATTCCATGACCATTGCATGTATTTCCGCCTGTCTCACAGTCTCTGGTGTCTGTGCTGCATTCGCAGGCGTTGCCTGTGAAGTTTGAGTTGCATTTGCAGTTGCCACAGCTGCAGACCCCTCTAGAGAGACCTGAACAAGAAAGCAGAATTGAATATAGATTTCCTTATCAATATACAGTATATCTGCCATTAGACCAGATTCACCTTGTTGCCTTGTGTTAACGAGCAGTAATATGCACATTTTACCACACTACTGGAATGCATGACTTTATCTGCCTTGCTGACTCACATACATCTTCATTGACCTAACCACTGAACCTTCACATTCTCACATAATTCATTCCCACACAGCTCCCTCCTCATGTATCATTTCCCCCTCCTCTTTTAGATTGTAAGCCCTCAGGGGCAGGGCCCTCCTTACCTTTCCTTAATCTTGTCTTGAATTGTATTGTAACTGTTATGTCTTCCTTATATTGTAAAGCGCTGCGCAAACGGTTGGTGCTATATAAATACTATGTAATAATAATAATAATAATTGAATTACTAATTTTCATTGACTGACATTTGTTTTTTTTTTTATTTGTAGCTGGATTTTAAAATACCTCCACAAAGCTGACCATCATGTCTTTCACAGCTGGTATCATCACATTCGCAAAACGTTCCCCGAAAATGTTTGTTACATGTGCATTGTCCGCACTGACACCTTCCACGCCCATTACAGGGCAGCAGTGAGCCACCCATTATACAGTCTTCGTCTGAGTCATACTTGTTCTTTGGACATTCGCAAAGTTTTCCTTTATGCCCATCCATGCAGCTGCAAAAAGAAGATTGCATTAAGTAAGGTTGCACAGATACCAAGTACAGTACTCTGTACAAGTACGAGTACATGTACGGATACTTTTGAGCTCCAAGACTAGACTAGAGGAAAATTCTAAAATTAGAAGGCAGCTGTGATTTGTAAGGCGCACACGGAGCTCCTGGGATTTTTGCATCTCTGTTTTAATGTACGATTTTGTTTTTATAAATAGAAATAAAGGGCTGCACAGATACCTGTTTTGCGAGTACGAGTACTGGTACTTGCCGAGTACTTACAAGTACGAGTACTGATACATTTTTGTTTATTGTCATGTGACAGTTTTTCTAAAACAATACAGACTAATGATTTTAGGACAGTGGTGGAGCGCTAGAGCCAGGTCCCAGCTACGTTCTCCGCTTTGCTCCGTGTGAACACTGAGACGGGAGAGCTGCACTCGCAGCCTTCTCATATCAGCTGTCAGAAGAGGTCCAGCTCAGTGCGGTGCTAGAACTCCTGTATTGGAGGTGACAGGTTCAATAAAGAGAACCTGTCACCTCCAAATGCAATCACACAGGGGCTTGTTTCCTCCTGTGTGTTAGCAATAAAGTGAAGTGAAAAATATTTTTAAAGAAATAAAAATGTATAACAAGTAAAAAATGATAAAATAAATAAAAATTAAACAAGTAAAAAATAATAATAATCAATTAATACAATTAACCTACTACTTCTCTATGGGTAACCTATTCCCTATTGTGTTGCTTTTGGTTGAGTTTACAGCACAAATTTGTGTCTGAATATTAATGTATAAAGTAAGTATAAATGTTGTCCATAGTCATGCAGCTAAGGAGAGTGAAATAAGCATTCTTAATTACCTGCAAACTCCACAGCTGTAGTTCCCAAGACCCTGACTGCAGTGGTTGGATAAAATCTCTTCGTCGTTACAGTTACACTCACATAAAGGTTCAACATCCACACTCAGCTCCTCACTGAATCCTAGCACCCTAAGATGGAAGCTCTGTTTCCCATCCTGGCACATCTTCTCATCTATCCATATTGTCACATCAAAATCTACCTGCAAGGAAACACACAGTATCATGCCTTATAGATTGGATCTTTATATGATATTCTCCTACATACAGGAAATGGCCATTCTACCCAGAGCTGATAATGTTATAGATTTTAGTTGCCTGTGCCAACCACCAGCTCTGTAGATTTCATGGGAACTCCATGTTAAAGTGACAGTAAACTCAGGAGTTTAATCTTAAAAATGCATTTAAGTACCTTATAACTATTATCAAAAATGTATCTTATTTGTGTATCACTCAGCTATAGATCCTCAAATCATCTCTGAATTGGTGCTGCATAATTGCTCTCCTTCCTTCTGGAAGGTGGCTACTTTTCTTCCCCATGTGTTGTAAACTAGTCACCACTCCAAGCTCGCTCACATGATAGACTATAGTTTCAATACAAATTGGTAAACTAAACATGATATTGTAGTTCATCACGGGAGGGAGCTTGGAATGTTGGCTACTTTACAACGCACACAGGAACCATGGGGAACAAAAGTAGCCCCCCTCCAGAAGGAAGGACAGTGTTGGCACCAATTCAGAGATGATTTGAGGATCTACAGATAAGCGATACACAAATAAGATACATTTGTATTATTAGTTAAGGTAATTGAATTCATTTTTAAGATTTAACTCCTGAGTTTAGTGTCACTTTAAGATTGCTGTCAAGCCCTCAGGTTCAAGCACCTTCCGCTACCTAACACAAGGGATCTAATTTTCACAGCTTGAATCATTGAGTAAGACTCCATGGCACGGAGGAGGTAGGAACCAGGCCTTCGTTGTAGGGTGATGTTAGAAATTACCACTCTGGGCAAGTTAGCACTACAGTATTAACCTATCAGTTCTGGTTGACCTTTTAAATCCTGAACATTCCATTACTCTTCATCCCACTTCCATCCTGCTATAACATGCTTTTATCTTTCTCCCTGGCAGTGTTTTAAACTCCATGCAACACAATACATATATCAGCATTAGATGTATACTTAGCATAAACCCCACACACTAGAACAAACCAACTGCATAATGTTATAATGTTCTTCATAATATTAAGAAACTGACCTAAAATCATGATTTTTTATTGCTTTAGAAAAAATGTGACCTGTCCCTTTAAGAAAAAGTATCGGTAATTGGTATCGGCGAGTACTTGGAATAAAGTATCGGTACTCGTACTCGGCCTTAAAAAAGTGGTATCGGTGCATCCCTAATTGTTATCATAAAGTCACTTACCATTTCATTAATTTTGACACCTGAGCACTGCCCACTTGGCTGTCCCATAGTAACGGAGTCAGGGCAGTGAGAATCATAAGAGATGTGAATTCCTTTTGGTAAATTTACATGTTCCAGGTTTACTGTGGAGGATAAACTCTGTAAGGTAAAAAGAAATGTGCAGCAAATAATTAGAAATCATTATTGACCTGATTAAATGTTAATTACATAATTAAAGCTGAGAATCTATTAGTCACTAGGCGCACAGAGCATATGAACAAATTACTGAGCATGGTCTTTGTCACCATTGATAAAGGCATTATTGTTTAGCATGTTTAGCGAGCAGATTAAAAAAAACTATTTACAATATCTGCTGTATGAAATATTGCCTTTAGTGAATGAACATTGGAGATTTTGGGTGTCTCTTGCCATTATAGCATATTGCCACTCAAGAATACAGGAGTTAACATCACAATAAACGTATGGGTTAGACAAATCATATATAACACTCTTAGTGTATGGGATATAACAATATGATATTCTGCTTAAAAGCATTTGAAGTGGGTTGAGGAGCACTGAGAGAAACACCATCTTCTCCAATTAATTTTGGTTTCAACTGCAACACCACGATGGTAGACTCAAGGGTGTAGAGGAATTACTCTGGTATGAACTCTAATGTAGATTCCACTGATGGAGCATTCACGCATCAACCTTGGGTAGATTAATCGTGTGCTGATTTGGGATGCGAGAGTAATCATGTTCAATCCCTGTTGTGACATGTTGCATCTGTTATCAATAAAATATGGTCTACCACATAAATATACCCTGATATACAAATATTTAAGATACTGATGCTGCAAAGGCCAAACTTCCCCCTCAGTGGAACAACTTGCTTTTAACAAAGGACTTCAAAGAAGGCATGTCTTGCAAGCCAGAAAGGTCAGGCAAGGACATGATAAGCAGCAATGTACATTATTCTAGTATTCATTTTTCAATGCCCTTGCTTAGAGAATGACATCACCTACCTCTAGTTTCTATTTACTGGTGATGATGGGGCATGTGCTGCAGAACCTTCTACACCTCTATTGCTGCATATAATTGCCCCCAACATTTCCCACTACAGTACAGCCTAAGTGGATGCCAGAACATGTAGTCCTGAAGCAGGTCCCTATAGCCCCATTCTAACCAGCCGCATTTTTCCAATTGGTAGATATGGTGCAGTATGGGAAGATCATTCATGCATAATATTTAAGGTGTATAGCACAATATTTATACTTTTTAAACCAATTATACAATGATCAGGAACTGTATATTTTATTTTTATGCTGTTCCGAGATCACCTTTAACAAATCACTTACATTGTAGGCTTGAGATATAAGATTAACCACATTGCTGGAATCCTCTGACAATTCTCCAACTGCGGATTTAGGAATCAAATCACTCAGCTCCTGCAAGGATATCATAAATAATAAATAACAATGTGCAAAGAAGCAGAGTTTAAAAAAAAAATAATCTAAAAATGAAAACAAAGCCCGAAACTCCTGTTTCTACGTCTTAGAAGTTGACTATAGCAGTGTACCTAATGAGTCTAGATGCAGAGAAAATCATCCCCCATTTATCATGTTGACATTGTCACATTATGCCCATGATGCTATTACCACCTTATTCTCTTTGGCATCCTCCACACATGTTCTTATAACCCCACTGTGTCTCTGGAAACCTCCATAACCATAGGAATTGTGTGTGGGGAAACACATAGGCCAATTGAATCACTATAGAGTCACAGGGAGGAGGAGAGATCTTAAAACAAATCTTAACATTCATGGTGGTTTTACCAGTCTTTTTGTGGCAAGGTGTATCAGATTTTCTTTCTTTTTTCTTTTTAATGCTTCTCTCCTATTTGCCACTAAGCTATACTTTTACTGGCTTGGCTAGTAAAAGACTAATAAAGGCTAAGCCCAGAGCATTAGTGAATAACACATATGTACCTGATAGGTTGTGAGGACGGTGCTTGTGACTGCAAATATAGGCTGGATGTTGGCAGCTGTGAGGATCTGGGAAAGATGTCCCACAGATGGATAATCCTAAAATAAACACATATACTGTATTTCACTTTATATATATATTCGAAAAAAGACAAAAAAAGAGTATATGCTCTAGTATGTGGCACTTTTGGCTCAGTTAACACACATACCAAGGCTTACTGATAAGTAAATGTTGACCTGTTCCCAGAAGCCTAAAAGCCAGCCTGCAAAGACCCTATTTGACATTGAGGATACCTATAACTGAAAGCACATTTTTTCTGGGAGGCATGAGGGGATGATCCAGACTTTTACTTTCTTGGGAAACCAGTAGTTGGATATTAGAGAGCCCTGGGGTTTGGGCCTCCCACGTGCTCAAGAAGCTGCTGTATTTATTCTCTTGTTTCACATGTATCATACATGCACTGCTTAATTCTTTTGTATCTTCATCCTGTATGCACAGATACATTTAATATATGGTGACAGTTTGGGACATGTGGCTAGACGGGAAAAAAAAGGTTTAAATGCAGTGAATATTCAAGGGGTGGCAAACAAGCTAAGAATAACATGCTTGACCAAATCTCTGCTCTGGAGGATCTTTCGCAAAAACACCATGGCTTTCTGCACTTTACATACTTGTAAGTTGAACTAGTAATGTAGGGTATTAAAATACAGGAAAAGGGTAGTGAAGGGAGCTTCCCAGAAATGTATCTGGCCCATCCAGGTTCAGCTGCCTGGAAGATGTGTGAGAGATAAAATTCTCATCTTGCCTTATGTCTGTTTATTGACAGACATCTGACCATGCAATCGTTCCAGCTGTGTTGGGAAACAGCAGTGAATGTGAAAGCTTAGCTGTGCTCATGTCTAGTATTATACTCACATACATATTGCTTTGATAATATTCCCCATTTTCATTTAGGTGACAGTGACCATCTGTTGGCATGTAAATGCCAGCTAATTTTCCATCTCCTGCCATGTGAAAGACATCATCCGAGGCATACACCAAGAGACGTGTAACGTTCCTCCAACCAATGTGGTCCTATGATACAGATATAAGGGGTGGAGTATATTAGTGATCACATATTAAGTACAAACAAGTGACATAGATTTCTACTTGTAGAACAAAGTAGCATGGAAAGTCATGACATTATTAAACACTTCAATAACCTACACAAAAACACTTTATACCAAAACACATTCACTTTCTAGGACGTTGAAGCCAAAACTAGAAACATTCTTCAGATATCCAATTTAAGTTTACTAGAGAGAGCGAACCTGAGAGAGAAAGTTGTCTCTCAGTTACGCTCCTCTGCTCAGTGGGCGGGTGCAATAGCCAGCCTGCTATTGGCTATTTCAAATTAAATTAAATCCACCTGTTGCCTGCAGAATTTTTCTAGTTTTGGCTAGACGGGGGATTTAAAATAGACGGGGGCACCATGGGGGGTGAATGGTCAAGGCTGTGCCCTAGGTAGCAGTGTGCCCTAGGCAGCAGTGCACCCTAGGAGACTGCCTAGTTTGCCTAGTGGCAGCACCAGCCCTGGAGACAGGAAATCTATTAATAAAATATTTACAATCATTCTATTGTGAAAATAACTTACATGTGTATGTAGAAGCTATCACTTTGTTTCCCCAAAATTTACTTTTTTTGTTTGTTTCAATAAGTTTTTTTTATTATTTTTATATAACAACACAAAACAGTATATGAAGAGATAGAAGTAAACATAAAAAATATTTCAAACAATAATCTCTTTTTTGGAGATACCCTAAATGGAAACTCACAATACTTCTAATATAAATAAGCTAAATATATCTTTAATTCTTTTTACATCCATTGACATACAATTGTAAAAACACTAAAAAACACCTCCGGCATGATACTTAATAAAGTTGACACCATGATCCATTGCTATAATACACATGATTCGTAATTTCTTCTATGTCCACCATCCAACTTGCTTTTAGAATTGTATATTTATGTATGTAAAATGTATTTAATATATATTAAATATATATTTTGTTTATATTAGAAAAAGAGTTACTGTTTAGGGTATCTCCAAAAAAAGAGTATTGTTTGAAATATTTTTATAGTAGTGGGAGTTAAACCCATCAGAAGGGACATTTGAATCTTGATATAAAAAACTTGTTGGATTCACACCGCCTCTTGCCCTCGACTTTTTATAGATAGAAATAAACATACTGGTATGGGAGAAGGGAGGTACAATGTACACACATTAGGTAATTAAATACAATATACTGAAAATCATAACAAGTGGCAGACAACTTGAGGCACATTTAAGAGCAAAAATAGCATTATATTCAGTTTGAATTAGAATAACCATACGCTCATTGACCTCTTGAAGTAGGGCAGGTTATGTTATGGGATATAGTATGGGGAAGAAGAAAGAGGGGAATGAGAACCAAGGGGAAACAACAACAAAAAAAGGGGAGAGCAGAGGAATGTTTAAGGGATAGGAGAGGAAGGTGGGAGTGTAAAAGATTCCGAATAAGTCCTTCATGTTAGGTTAGTTACATAGTTAACAGGGAGTCATCGAAATCCACGAGCAGGAAGTGAGTGATCCAAGGATGCCAAACACTGTATAGCAGTAAAGTTCTCAGTTTTTAGCTATTGTCTGCTTGGTCACTGTAAATACATGTCTAATTAAATGAGTCTAATTTTTGGTGCAATTAGTATGAGGGTCATTCTTACAAATTGGTTCTAACAATGAGGGCATTGATTACACTCATGTTGGTTTATTAATTTATTATAATATTAATTTCAGATCACTTACTAGCACTGTATATTTGATATCAGGGTATTTAGCGCCGCATAATTATTACTCATATTTCTAGGACCTCTGTGTCTGTTTTTGTGGCAGCTCTACTACCTATAATGGGGTTCAATTTTCCATAAGTGCAGATCTATAGATACATAATATTGGCATTATTACCTTTAAGATAATATTTTTGTTTGGCTAGTTTGAGTTGTTTGTCTGCTTGCAAAGGGATTTATTCTTGATGAAATGCAGATATTTTCTAGCGCACTTGACATTTTGATCAATTAACAGTGTAGACTTTCATCACATCACAACTCCTATGAAGCCCACCAATGCAAAGTAAAAGTTTGATGATGCCACACTAATAAGTGTCTGTGAAGGTTCTCATTCCTCCAGGTCATGGTATATCTGTAAAAAATAAGTCAAGGCAACGGGACTTGCTGTATTTTTCTTGAAGATGTTTCACTAGTCATCCAACCAGCTTAAGCATATGTGACCAGATAAGTTCCCACTGGTTGTTTTTTTTAAATAAAGTTATTGATGGCATTTTAATTGTTGTTTAAACCCCAAAGGTGTTACCATGGCCATTATAAAGCCATTTAAATTGTGCTGTCAGTCTGGTGTCTTTCCTTAATATTATGTGCAGTCTCATGTTTTTTAGGTGTCAGTCCACAGTTGCTGCCACTGCAATCCCTGGTCCTTCTTCACCGAAGCTAAAATGTTTATCTGTAACTTCCATGGTTGTCTATTTTTAGGACACTTACTGTGCACACAGCAGCCTGGAACATGGCATCAAGTCCTCCCTCCGGTGAGTCCAGGTTTCCAGAGATGTTCTCTGCACTGACTCGTTCTTGGAACAAAGTGAGGTTTGAAGTTAAAGACAGAACATTACGATAGCTGAAGGGTGGTTGGCAACGCTCCGTCCGTTTCTGGCATGGATTCCTCATCTGGGATTCTACTGTGTTTACATAGGGCAACACTGTCTTATCCACAAATGAGCCAAAGCCTGTGATGATCAAATACAATATTATATTATATAATCAAAACTAGCAATGCTGTGATAAAAACAGATATACTGTATATTGAAGCCTTATCCAATCAAGCCCATCTCCACGGTGCTCTACTTATATCTAAGATGTTATAGACTAGAAGATAGCAGTTATGCAGCATTCACATAACTTTTTTTGTAAATTGTTTGTTATTTATTGCATTTATGTGCGATTTGTAGTAAAAATAAAGAAGGGAATCAATTATAATCCTGTGTGAGATGATAAAAATCTACTTTGTGAAACATGCCAGATTATTTGATCAGGGAACAAGAAGCTTTGAGTAACTGACCATTATGTATCAATAATGTCCTTTTACTGCTTTATTCAGTAAGCACCCGAATCATATTCCAACCTTCATTGATCTAACAGCAGACTAATATGACATAAACATTACGAATAAATATTATAAATAAATATGACAGTAAACATTACAAAATGTAATGTTCTGGTGTTCTGGGTCACAACACAAAACTGTTTTTTGAACCACAGTATCAAAAAGAGCCAATATACAGAGCACCATATACAGCAGATGCAGTAGACTATATCTACGGTATATGGTATGTACTAACCTATTTAGACAGGAAGTTTTACCAGTCAGATTTTAGATTTGTGGTCAAATGTTCATGTCTTACTATCTTTCTCTAAAGTGACTCTGTCAGCTTTGGGTCACTTTTTTGTACAGCATACCTGCTAAATATAACTTAATAGATTTACCTTTCCAGAGGCCTAGTTCTTAAAAAGTCACCACTTCACTGCTCCTTTACCCACTGCAAGTATTCACACACTTCCAAGTGTTTGAATACCTGGTCCACCTGCTGCTGTTTCTCACACGAGGCTCATAGGTCACTACAGGACATACAAGCCAGTGGAAATAACCACAGAAAGCAGCAGGGGAAACAGGTTTTTAACCCATCTGACCAGGCAAATACTTGCAGAGGAAAGGAGCCACCATAAAACAGGATATCAGGGCCAGTGCTCAGGGGATGAGCTGATTCTGCAGGAAACTAAAACTTTTAAACATCAAGCAGTATCTATTGTTAGCGATCTAATCAGCATTTGGGATGGTTTAAAACCTTGTTGGCTTTAATATCACTTTAAGCAGGAGCAGAGGGCCAGATGGATGTCCAGGGGACACAGCTACTGTCTTCATGCTCCTGCAGTAAAACAGGGGGATAGTGTAACTGATCAAAGTTGTACACCTGAGGCTGTGGCCATCCATGTGAGCAGACTTGTGCTCTGAGTCTCCTGCCAGCTATCCATTACATTGATCCTGATATCAAGATTCACTACCCAATATTGGCAGCTCCAGACTCACTACAGCTTCTCAACACCCTGCTCCACCTTCAGGCACCGTTATAACCCTCATGGGGACAACTAAAAGAATGCAGAAGACACCTGTACTGCAGATCAGCCCAAGAGCATACCTCTGAACTTTACACTTTCTTAAATAGGGACAGCCCAGAGAAGGGATAATGTGTCTCGCAGTGCACTTCGGTAAGAAGTTGACGTGGCAACATAGCACTGAATATCAGGCATGGTTTAAACAGATATGGTTAAATAGAGTATGAATTTATGCACAGTATACACTACAATGTTTGCTGCAGGTCAGTCAGTGTAAGAAAGAATAAATGACCCACTGTTTGTGGTCAGTGGGAGAAAACATGCCCAGCCAGCATCATTGTTCAATAGGAGAGAAATGAAATGCCCTGTTGTTGGTGGCCAGTGGGAGGAAAAACATCTGATTTAATTGGTCAGTGGGAAAAAGATACCCTGTGTCATTGGTCAGTGGTAGAAAAAGGCCTAGTGTTTTCAGTCAGTGGGGGGAAAAATGCTCCAACATTAAAGGGAGGAAAAGTGGCTCTAGCATCAGTGAAAGTAAAACAAATTCCCTGCTGTCAGCGTGAGGAAAATGGCTGGTGTCATTGGTCAGTGGGAGGAAGAATACCCAGTTCCATTGGTCAGTGGAAAAAAATGCCTGACATTATTGGTCAGTGGAAGGGAAAACAATGTGCCCACGTTAGGGCGAGGAAAAAGTGATTCTTCCGTCGGTAAGAGTAAAACATAAGGCAGTACAGGGACTCTCTGCAGTGTGAAATGTATATCCTTCCACCATCATGTATAAACAGAAATGCTCATGTGACCCAAACATTTTTGTGTATTTCCTAATCTAATCCAAAGGACACAGAGGCGGCTCTTTAATTAGGCAAATTAGGAGGTCGCCTAAGGCCTCGCGCTCCCAATGGCCTTGTGGCCACCTAATTTGCCCTGCCGGTGTCAAACTGAGAGCTCATCCGTTTCTTCAGTATATCCACTCGACTTTCTGAAGCTCCAACCACCAGCCAATGAGAAGAGACGTCACCCTTCCCTGGTAACACTCCATAGAGCCCTGGTGGGACCCTAGAGAGCACTTGTGGGACCCTCACCCTAGAGATCCCTAGTGAGACCCTGGTGAGCTCTGTGGGATCTCACCAGGACTCTGTGGGGTCTCACCAGGGCTCTGATAGGTCTAACCAGACTGTTGAGACCCCACATAGCCCTGGTGAGACCCTGAAGAGCCCTGGTGCTTGTGAGACCGCACAGAACCCTGGTTTAACCCCATGTGGGGTCTCACCATCTCGCCTAAGGCCTCGCAACCTCTAGAGCCTCCTCTGAAAGGACATCTACAAACAGATAATGCATCCACATCTAATCATCTGATCAGTGCCAGATCCAATCAGAACTAATCTTTTTGGACTTCCAGTTTTGGTTCCATCCAGAATGGGCGGCTAATAGGTAATATGTGCAATGGCATTACAGCCAATATAGTTTTTCATTCTAATATTTTAGAGTTGCACTTCTGCTTGAAAGAATGAAGAATGTCATATGCAAGTTGTTGTAATCAATGCATATCTAATAACCGGTTCTTTGCTGAAAATACTCAATATTATTATTTCTTTATAAAACTTAGTTTAATCTAATCTTAAGATAAATAAAGACGTGTTATATGTCACAACAGTTAAATCTGTGTCCGTATTGCATGTTCAAACCTTAATACCATAAGTAATAACAGATGTTTACTCCAGGAGTATAAAATGAGATTGGAAATTCTAGAGAAATTCTTAAATTACTCTTTAATTAAACCCACTATATTTTTGTAGAGTCTATCTACTGTAGATTTATTTGATAAAATCTTATGATATTTAGTTGACTAAAACAAGAAATAAAACAATTCAGATGACTAAAATACGACTAAAACTAAATATTATTTTAGTCAAAAGACTATGACTAAAACTAAATCGAAATTTGCTGTCAAAATGAACACTGATTTCAAGTTCTGATCTAGGTTATACCTATGCGCACGGACTTGGTAACCTTGTGTAACACCTGCTGAATGTCACTTCCAAGCTTCTTCACATTTTCCAGATCATCTTTCATAGAATAAGACAAGTCCATAAGGTAATAGAGGTCAATGGGGTATCCTTCTGCACGCTTGAACCGCACTTGAAACTTCTCCTTCTTTCCTGTAATTCACACAAAAATAAACTGAAGTGAAAATGCAAAATAATTTCTGTAGATAAGATGGAACTAGTCTGAAAAAGGAAGACACATAAAAGGATTCTCTTTTTGTTTTATACTACAAATGTTTCCACTGGTCTTTCTTTATGAGACATTACTCATGTAATGCATGGTTTTTAAATTGCTTTAAACTGACTTTTTGGATCCCCTGTCAATCTTTAAACAATTGTTTATTCTTTATAAGTGATGCAGCCGATCTCAAGGTTTTTAGCTTAAGTCGCTTATTTACAGCTTTGTGTTCCTTCCACTTTTACCATTTTACACAATTCTAAATGTACAAATATTTGTTAATTATTAACTCAAAGCAGTTTAATCTTTCAATTTAAATAGAACTGTTTTAGTTAGGTTGTGTTTAAGGGCAATAATAATGATTTTAGTGTATTTGTTTATATACAATATGGTTTGATAAATATTTGCATAACTATCATGGGATGTATAAAATCAGCAGCATCATATTTTAATTCTACAGGTCCTGTGCTTTCATAAAATATATGGCGTGTGGATCTTTTACTGCCTTTTAAATCCTTTTGCTAAATAGTTGAAGTAAAAAATAGCTAAAATAGTCTGCCTACCAAAGGTTAAAATGGGAGGCAGGGACAGGTGGCAAAATGGTTTTTAAGGGGTTAAATAGAAACAATATTTAATTGAAAGAGTGACCATACATACAGATAGATGACTTTGGTATGCAAACAACACTAAAATACAGTGAACTCCCAGTTATCTGTTACCCATCTTGGGGATTGGTAGTTGCTGGATAACTAGTTTCTGGTTGCTTGAGAGCTACTATTACCTCTCAAGCAACTCAAGAAATCAGTATTTCCTTTAGCTGAATACATATCTTTTGGTAGTAGTAGATGTGATCACCAAGCACATGGACAAATATGGTCTAAAATGGTCCATAATGCAATACAGCAAAATCATGTAACAATTTCTGTATATTCACTCAGAAAATAGCCTTCACAGCCATAAAAATTATGAAGATGAAGAGGTTCCTGGTTCAAGAGGTCCTGGGAATTGTCTTCATCAATGCCATAAATGTCCAGGGGTGTTGCTAGACCCTGATTCTCAGAGAATGTGCCTAAGTCATTTACTGAGGGCACTGGGTCTCCTTTGCAGTAAATGTTTTCAACAAACTTAAAGGAGAACTATTGGGTAAGTGTTTTCCCCCATAGTTCTCCTAAGGGTCACGGGAGGACACAAACTAGCGTTCTCTCGTGACCCAAAGCTCAGTATACCGCTATACTGAGACCGCCGCAGCTGGGACGGGTCCCGACATTACTGTGGAGATCCACCCAGCTGCGTGATTGACAGCTGGCTCTGCCTATCTAGAGGCAGAGCCAGCTGTACCCTCCCCGTCCGTTCCGCCAGTCAGCGCTGGAGGATCGGAGAGGGGAGGGGATATGATCGAGAAGTGAGCGAGCGACGGTATGTGTTCGCCACTTCCCGATCTATTGAGTTGGCGTGTGACAGTTTAATTGTCACACGTCAGCTCAAACTATGAGGTTGAGTGATTTTTACTCACCTCATAGTTCTCCTTTAAGTCTTTGCTGAATGTTTATTGTGTGATTTATTTTTATCTTGAACATCTATTCTCACACCCACACTAGCGTCTGAATTTTTCAATCCAGTTCTTCAGAATGAAGTCATTTAGCGAATTAGTACATGTGAAATTTTTCATACAATGCATATTTCTTTTTTACCTAATAAATCGTTTTTCCCTATTGATTAACAATAAGATTATATATTCTCTGCAAAGTACGCTCTTTGAGCATCATGTAGTTTATCTTTACTTTTGAATTAATTTAATATAATTTATTTTTTGAGCCATGATTATACATTTGACTTTTAATTTCAATCACACCATAGTGTTCTTGAAATTAAAATTATGACTGCTTATGGCCAATTCATTTTTTCTGTATATTGGTCTTGAAATTAAAATTATGACTGCTTATGGCCAATTCATTTTTTCTGTATATTGGTCTTGAAATTAAAATGATGACTGCTTATGGCCAATTCATTTTTTCTGTATATTGGTCTTAGACTAGGACCAAAGAAGATTTTAATACGGTAATAACAAAATGAGTTCTAAACTATCAGTTTATTTGTTCAAGACTTACAGGGTTATTCACAAAAGGGTGAAGAGTTTGGAGAAGGCAGGAGAAGTGAACAATCTAGGACAAAAGCTGATTTGGAAAAATTATCCTATTCAGCTCACTTTCCAGTTCAGCTATGTTGTCCTGTTGTCAACTTCTCCTGCCTTCTCCTAACTCCTCACCCTTTAGTGAATAACCCTGCAAGTTACATATACAGTAATCATTTTATCAATATAAGTTGCACTTTGTTTGAGTGTCCTTTTAATTACTCTGGTTTGCAGGCCTTGGATTGCTGGATGCACAAGGCTAGAACACTAATAGCTGAGCTCTAAGGGCAAAAAAAAAGGTAGACAAGTGAAACAAGGAGGGAGAAAATAGATGACATAAGAACAGTAAATAGCCTCATTCACTTCTCGTCATGTTATACTACAAACCCCACAACCTTTTGGTATCTGAGTGAGATGCGAGTCTTGAAGAACTGGAGTTGTTCTAGGGGTTAGGGAGTCAATCAGTCAAACACTGTACAAACTACAAATAAGTGAGTTAGGCCAGTATCCTGTAGGATGGAAGTCCTGCCCCAGTGAAATTAGAGCACTTGGAGACTGGGATAATATTCCCTGGGTGCTAGCATCAGGGCAAGGAGATGAAGCCCTGTTACAGATGCCAGAAAAAGGAGCGGTCCTGAATATAGTGTTATCATAAGGTCCAGGTAGCGGGTTTCTCTGTAGACCATGTAAAGGCCTAGGGACCAGACATGTGCAATTTGTTTCGTTCCGAATTGAAATTCGTACACATTTTTGGATGCATCTGAATTTTTTTCTGAATGCTATTCGGAATGAACTTGTGTAGTTAAACGTTAACATTTTTTTTAAAAACCATGGAGTCCCCTTCCAATTTATACCAAATCCCTGTGTCGGCGGGCATCGGGTTTTTTTCTCTTTTAGCAAGTCACAGCCAATAAAATAATTGTTAAAAACCTTTGTTGTGTTTTTTTTGTCAAATAAAGGACTTTTGTACGGTGTAGTGTGTTTATTTACAAATTGTTTATTTGGAGAATGAGTAGAGGCAACAACTACCCCTTACTCATTCATGAGGGGGGTGGCGGCATCTTGGTGCTCCCTTTATGAAAGGGGGCAGACAGATTTAGATAAGCCCCCCTGCCCGCAGACCCCCACAACCACTGGGCCAGGGTTATGGGGAAGAGGCCCTTGTCCTTATCGACATGGGGATCCCCCCTGGCAAAGCACCCTCCCCACATCGAGGGCATGTGGCCTGATATGGTGGGGGGGGTGGGGTGCACACTCATCCTCCGCCTTTCCTGCTCTCCCAGGCTGCTGCTCAGATCAAGCATCAGAGTGCCTTCGCAAATGACTGCATGTTCTTCATTTAGTTCTTGTGTTCATGGTTGCATTGTTCTATGCATAGGCACTGATTGCTTATTAAATCTGCTATCAAACTCTCTAAAGGTGTGTTGGTGTGCTGTGGATCCAAATTTGGGCAGTACATTTGGTGTGGGGAATAGAAATACCTGGGTTACTTTGGCGGCTCCTTTGGGGGTGAGCGATACAGTTATAACAGTTTTTCATTTGCATATTTATGATTTTCAAATGGATTCATCCATTTTTAAATGGATAAACATCCAGATGTTTCATGGTATCTTTGATACTATTAAAGAAGTATTGGGAGAGTGAAATATACTCTTCCCAATACTTAGAGCTGGCATGGGGCATTGCAGCTGTTACATGCCAACCTTATATACTGAGAGCTGAGCATTTAACCACTGATTGCTTAGCTCATGGTCTCTTCCCTGCAAAACACAGTGACTGCCAATCACCACTCACCGCAGGGATTCCCTTCTCCCTTTTTTTCCCCTCCAGCACTCACTGGAGGGACAGACAGGGGAGGGGGTGGACACAGCTGGCTCTGGCTTTGGAGAGGCAGAGTCAGCTGTCAATCAGAAAGACAGATGTATGCCGAAAATATTGTCAGGATCCTTCTTGGCTGAAGGACGGCTCTGCATTGTCAGCAGACAGCGGGCAGTAGCCCGCTTTATCCTGAATTTGGGTCACAGGAGTACATAAGTAAATATACTCTTGTGCCCAAAAGAGAAGTCAAGCTAAAAAGGTTTGGATATACTTCTCTTTTAACTGCATATGTTATGTTTATTGTTAGCCCTGAGGAATGTGGGAAGATCCACAAAATGTGCTAGGTTACTGTTTGATCATCAATAAAATATTTTACATAGTTAAAGAGAATGACACTTCTTCTAATCTCCTTATTCACCTTGGCTATTCCCCTCTAAATAGAGTGAGGTGCTTGTGATTCATTTGCTGTCTGTGTTCCTGCTGGAAACATTTCCCCTCACCTTCTGTGTTACAGGCAGCTATCCAAAAAGTTTTGCCTAAAGAAAGGTCTTATGTTTACTATACACATGACAACGTTTCAAACTACAAGGCAAGCTCTGTGATATTGTCTTACCAGGACGGAGTGTCAGATGCACTTTCTGGGGTGAGAGTTGTATGATGATCCCTTGATCAGCGTTGTCACTCAGGGGTGTGTCCTTCTTCATAATATGTGTTTTGGGATCTATAATAAGTCCTTCATTACATCCACGTTGGAGCAGCTCCAGACGGGTGGCACATCGTGAACCTTCTGACTCACCTTCTTTTGTGAAGTTCTGTGCAAGAAAGACAAAAGACAATGACACTTACCTTTTATGAAACCATTTCTTCATTATCATTATCATTGATTAGAACTTTTTAAGCACTACTTTAGGAATAATGACCTAGTACAAAATATAGAGTATATGAAGGCAAAACTAAAGGTAAATGAAGTGTAGTCATGAAAATGATACTAAACAAACTGGCAATTTGGCAATTCTGGCATGTACCACAAGTGTTGGTCTAAATATAAGTGATTATAGAATGGGATGGTCTCTTGTAGGCTGCTCTGTAAAAAATTCAGCCTAAACATATTTTACCAATGGCACCAACATACTGGGTTACCGATATTGTAGTGCTCTCCAGCTTTATTAGCCACCCTTCAGGAAAATGTCATGCCCTTTTATTACAGAGTACTGATATGCCTAAAGGTTTTTTAAACTAGGTTTCTTAAACTATGGGTCAGGGACCAGTTTGAGTCACAGACATGTTTCTTTTGGGTTGTCCCATGGCTGTGCAGTAAATATAGCCTAGTCTATCCAATTGCAAAAGTGCTGGTGAGTAATATACACAGTTACACTATGTTTCAAATTCTATACTACTGCAGACATCCCAACTCTCCCGGACGCTCCGGGAGTCTCCCGCTATTAGATAGCGGCTCCCGGCCGCCCGGGAGAGAAGCACTTCCTCCCGGAAAGGTTTATCTGCTCGATCGAGCAGATAAACCTTTCCCTGCGATCGTTTTTTTTTTTTTTCTGACATCGGGAGCCGCGGCCCGACCGTCAGTCAGAAAAGAAAAAGGCATACGAATGCACAGCTAGATTCCTATTGGCACTGCAGATAGCAAAGAAGTGATTGCTTCCTGTGCTATCTGCCATCATTTCAGGGGGGTGCTCTCTCCCAGCCCCCCTCTAACCCTCCCTCCGCGGATGGGGTGGGGGGGAGAGGGCACCTCCCTGAAATGAGAGGTACACCTCCCTGAAATTGCTTCTTTCAGGTTGGGATCCCTGCTACTGTGAGAGTTAGGCCCCGGGGCTGTTCAGCCGTGCGGATTTGGCCGCACGGATCAGCCGACAATAACAATCCCATACATTGCTATGGGGACCGTTCATGCGACCGCACGGGTCTGTGCATTCCGAACTACCCCCGTCCAAATTGCTCCTTGAACCTTTTTTGCCACGCTGATCAGTGTGGTTTCAATACAGCTTTCAATGGAACCACGCTGTTCAGCGCGGTTTTGGGCATTTTCTATTACGTTTCAGTGCTGAAACGCAATTAAAAACTCCCAAAACAGCCCATTTAAATCAGCGCAGAAACTGCGCTGATTCGCAATCACCCTTGTATGAGTGGGGCCTTAGCCGCAATACATCACATAGAGTTTGTTAGTGTGAGATGAAAACATAATAAGTACATGATGAACAAGTCCTGTAGGCTTGTGGCTATAGATAAAACGAACTATCACCTGCAAGCCATCAAAAGAATCCTACAAACTGGGTGACTACAACTCAGCAGGGAAGAAGTGTTTTGTACACACTGAGACTCCAAATTTTCTGCAATCTTTTCTCAGAGGGATTATGTTCCTTCTAATAATATACTAATAACATCCAAAATGTTAGTCATAGAGAGTTGAAACGTATTCTATATGATAGTACACCTCATGAGCTACATGTAGATGCAAAGCCATATTATCTAGCCACAAAGAACACCCAAGGGACCCATCACATGGTTATATTGGGCATGCTTGCGACAGTCATGTTTCTTGAATCGATTGGGTTGATGCACTGGTGTCAGAAGTCCTAAGCCTGACTCAGCCATCAGAACTGGCTGGTCTATATAACCCACGGCCACTTCAGGAGGCAAGAACCTTCCTCACAACAGGTGAAGTTGTGAATTTAAAAGTTTCTTGGCCAAAGGGTTTGAGTTCATCCTACTCAAGTAGACTGAAAAATTAACATTGTAATCAGTATGGAGGTAGTTCTGAACAAGGTGGATTGCTGAACACTTCTGTGTATTCCCACCAACAGAATAACAGGAAAATTGTATTACCATACTTACAGCAATTTTCCTTTCCTGACAGCTCCATGGCAGCACACGAATGGGTGTAGGCTCCGCCTCAGAATCTGATAGGATCTTTAACTCTTAAATTTGAGCCTCCACCCAGCCACTAGCGTTACATAACTAGCAACTCCGACTGGGCAGGAATGTGCTGCCATGGAGCTGTCATGAAAGGAAAATTTTCCTGTTTTCCTAACAGCTCCATGGCAGCACACGAATGGGAAATAACTCGCACCATACAAGGGAGGGAATGCAAGTGATTTTAATTACACACAGAGGAAGAGGCCACGACTGTACGGCAAAACTCAACCATAGTCAAAGCCACAGGTTCAATACAGTAGTGACGCATAAAAGTATGAATAGAAGACCATGTAGCCGCCTTTACAAATCACTTTAGGTGAGACGCCACTCATGGCTGCCCAGGAAGTTGAAATGCTCCTAGTAGAATGTGCAGTCGCATGCCCAGGAACTGTCAACCTGTTAGCACCATACCACGCCCCCTTTGTGATGGACTGCACATGTGCCGCCCGAACCAGATGGAGGCATGGAGCGCAACTTGCATTCCATCCCCCTGCCCTGCAGGAAGAGGAATGAACGTACCGCCGCCCCACACGCAGCACTGTTGCACAGAGGGACACAGTGCGGCCGAACAGGCAGACTCAGCAGAGATAAAACAAGGCCATCCCAAGGGAGCTCCTCTCCAGCCCATGGCCCCAGAGTCCTGGATTTACAGGCAAATACCGCCTCAAGACCAGCAGAGAGGTTTCTCACAGGTGGTGTCAAGCTACCCTAGGGGTCACCACAAACATTACAATGTGACCATACAATTTTTGTGCAATCAATTTTAGATTTACCAAATCTATGTATTAAGAGGACCTACCTAATCCATCTAATCAATCTACATCCAATCAGGCAGGTCCTTGCACTACATAGTTGTTACAAGATCTAAAGGAGATTGTAACATGTGTGGTGAGCTTAAGTCCTATATCTGGTGCGTGAGTGCATGTGGGCAGTGGGAAAAGTGATCACTCAAGGAATCATGTTCACGGGATAGCTTGAGGAATCACAGAAGTATGTGGTAATAATTTGGCTGCTCCATAGCCCGTAGAGTGCGCCAGGTTGTATGTAAGATTTGTATCTGCCTGTATGTGTCCAGCCAGCATATATAGGTGAGTCTCCTTCCAGTGGCGGCCAGCAGTATTGCAGGTTTGCTAACTGCTTCACAGCACTACTTTATCTGCCCAAAGTATGCTGTCTCCTTACTCTTTCTCCACTGCATATACAACCACAGCCATAAAATAGTTAGGGGAGTCTTGTTTAGGAGATCCAATAGCCTGAATATTAGCAGCCCTCGCTGCTTCTGAGACTATTTAATAATGGGCTGTATTCAGGACAGCCATCAGGGGGGTACGGCCGATACTCATGTAAGGGGCCCGGGCAGCCTGGGGGGCCCATCTGGGATCCTTACATGAGTATCGGCCGACGGTGAAGAGCTAGGAGGTGGACGGCCCCTGCAGTGGCGGCGGAGGCCTGGCCCTAGCAGCGCAGGGCCCCAGCATTGCCGCTCCATCAGCTTCGAGACAAGCTGGGGCCCCATCAGCGACGCTGCTCGTGACGTCACTTCCGGCCAGTCCGGCGGCAGAGGAGGCCTGGTGTGCAGGTAAGAGGAGCTAGGAAGGAGGGAGGGGAATGCAGCCCTGACCAGCCTACCTTAGAACCCCTTCAGAGCCCACTATAGACAGTCTCAGATGGGCTGTGCAGCATCTATGGTGGGCTCTCTAGGGTCACTCTCAGGTGAGTCCAGCGCGTCGCCAAGCCCCGCGTCCAGCGCGTCGTCCAGCGCCTCACCCAGCCCCGCGTCCAGTGCGGTGGGGGGGACCGGCCTAAAGTCGTGTAAGGGGCCCCAAAATTTCTGATGGCTGCCCTGGCTGTATTTCAAGTTCAGGCAGATAATTTCTCTGCCCAACTGTGGCCCTGTGCCAATTTGCAATCTAAAATCCCTCTAATTAATGTTAATGTTTTTAGACTGGAGTGACACAGGCTGTATAGGAGGTGCTTGGCAGGTGGTTCTGTCCCCCACCAAGTGCTTGTTACACGATAGGGCCAATTCAAAGTTAAATGGCTAAATACACCATGTGAGCAGTCCAAGGACAATGTGGCTAAGCTGTCCAAATGTTATTTGCAGCATTTGGGCCACATCAGTACATTTATCATTCAAATTCCCAGCCACAAGGAGAGCAGTTAGAGGATGGTGGAGTGCCACCTAAACATGGTGCACTGATGGTCTTTTATATCTAGCACATCAATGCATTTATCTCTTCTGGTTTGCGTCCTGGCACAGGGCAGACAGACAGTAGAAGGAAATGATTATTTCAAGAACTTCCGCTGTGAAAACCTCAAAGATTTTGTAATTAATCATACGAGACACTGGCAGACATATGAAAATGTCCCCACTGCCAGACATCTAAATGCCAAGTAGAAAAACCACCCTGTGGTTTGTTATTTAGACAAACAGGAACCAAACAAAGCTTTCCCTTAAAAGGTAGTTGTACGTGCATTAGTGCAGGAGCAGAAAACATTGGAGAGGTGGAGATCTACCTTAATAACATGGAAAAGATCCAGAGGGTGAAGTGTACTTTTTTTTAATTGATTTTTTACGTAGATAAATTAGGCAAAGCCTCATTAAAAAGTAAGGAAGGTTTGAAGAAAAATATAATAATACAAATGTTACTCTAAAAATTAGGGATGCACAGATACCACTTTTTCGAGTACGAGTACCGATACTTTTTCCCAAGTACTTGCCGATACCAATTACCAATACTTTTTCTTAAAGTGACAGGTCACATTTTTTCTAAAGCAATACAAAATCATGATTTTAGGTCAGTTTCTTAATATTATGAAGAACATGAACATGAAATTAACATGAAATGTGGAAGAGGAAGATGTGGAGATGACACTGGGTGTGAAGGTCCTCAGTCAGAAGCTGGTATGGGAAGAATAAACTGTTCACACCTAAATGTTTTTTAGCTGCAGTACTAACCTGCTGTGTCGTCTTCTCCGTCTGCTTCAGCCACTCCGTGTCACAGCCTAGTCATCTGCTCCATTCTGACCTCTTCTCCCACTGATTGGCCGATTGGATGATGACAGGCTTCCTCATCAGTCACTCCTGACTGGTGAGGAAGCCTGTCAATCATCCAGTCGGCCAATCAGCGGGAGAAGAGGTCAGAATGGAGCAGATGACTGAGGACTTGGAGGAGGAGTTCACGGCCATCTTGTTTCATGGAAGACGCGATGGAGGTCCTGTGTGCGGCAGTTTCGGGTCCCTGAAAATGGCGGACGCGGCACAAGTACTCGTTTTTTTGTATCGGAGTATTTGCACGAGTACTCATGCAAATACTCGGTATCACCGCCGATACCGATGCTTGTATCGGTATCGGTGCATCCCTACTAAAAATATAAACATATTTCACCCTTTTAGCTTTAAAAGTAAGTAATGCAAAGTGCAGGAGTCAGGACTAAGTAACACCTAAGTTCAAAGGTCAGTAGTATGAATCACAGAGTGCAGAGGCCAGTAGTATGTAATGCACAGTGCAGGGTTCAGGAATAAGTAACACAGTGCATAGAGGTCAGGAATAAGAAACACAGAGTGCAGGGGTCAGGAATAAGTAACACAGAGTTCAGAGGTTGGTAGTATGTAATGTAGAGTGCACAGGTCATTAGTATGTAACTCAGTGGTCAGTAGTATATAATGCACAGTGCAGAAGTCAGCAAATAAGTAAACCAGTGTTGAAAGGTCAGTAGTTTGTACCACAGAGTGTAATCTTTCTTAGAAGAACAAACATTTGACTTGTATCATACCTCTGTCACATGCCAATCAGTAGCTCAACTCTCAGGAGACATTTCCCCACATACCATAGTAGACAAATGAGTCATCCCTGAGATTGTCATACTGATTAACAAACTATGTGAGAAACAGGAAATAAAGAACTTGTCTGCTAATTTACAACGTGTTAACTTATATTGGACTCAGCAATTAATAACAAGACTGAGAAATCAGCAACTTTTATCATAGACATTGCCATTGAATGATGACCTTGTCATCTGCAGAGAAGACACAAGAGCCTAGAAGACAATGGTGCATAATTTCCGAATACAAAGTAAAGTTAAACAGGGGAGTTGCTAAGGTCTAAACTAATACATAGTGCTGTACTGTATAATATGGACACTCACATCCCTTTTTCATTTTGCAGGAGCTTAAAGGGTATCTAGGGTTAAAAAATGAAAATGTGTTTTTCTATATTGAATTTCCATAAGTTCTATCCCACTCCTAATACCCATATCAATCCTGAAGTTTGTAAACTTACTTTTTGAAGATGTCCAGCATTGCTTGCTGGAAGAAATGCATGATGGGATATGTAGTCTTGAGAAATTGCGATTGCATCACATCAAGCAGCAGGGAAAGAGATACTGAGCACACTGGGAATCCAGGATGTTGATGAAAGTGATGGGCAGACAGAAGGCAGCACTCACTACATAAATTGATTTTTTCAAGTAAGCTTTGATTGCATTATCAAAAACAACGCTAGTTTGTATTCCTATTACAGTGCTGATGTTATAACAGGAGAGTATATGCTGGGACTTTACATCTCCTTTAACCCCTTCATGACTGAGTTAGTATATAAAATATATTTATATATAATTTTTATTTTCTTAATTTTGTTTACACTTCATTTTAATTTTTTTACACTTTTTTGTCAATTATATCAAGCAGTTACTATGACTGCTTGATAATTTAATTAACTTTTTAAATTTTTGGCTATTATTAGGCTGCTCCAAACAGGAACAGCTTATAATAACCTTAGAGACTGATCCTGACAGCATGTCAGAATCAAATCTCACTAAAGGTTTCTGATCCTGCCCAGCCGATCAGAAGTGATACATTTCAGGCACAGAGATACATTGTAACAACTTTTCTCCTTTCAGACCATCTTCTAACAGGTTACACAACAGGGAAAAGCTCCCTGCCACTGACCTCACCACACATCCCTGCAGTGGAGGAGGAGAAAGCAATGCTCACTCAGTAAATGTAGCAAATTACTTTACATAAAAGTTTACATAAAAGTGAGTTTTAAAAGTTCTTTATAACATGTTTAAATAGTATGTGGAAGGGAATTTCATGGAGGGTGAGAAGTTTGTCGAAAACATTTGTAAATATATATGTGCAGGGCTCAGACTGTAGAGAGCCATGAAGATAAATTAAAGTGACACTAAACTCAGAAGTTAAATCTTAATGTATCTTATTTGTGTATCACTCGACTGTAGATCCTCAAATCATCTCTGAATTGGAGCTGACACTGTCCTTCCTTCTAGAGGGTGACTACTTTTGTTCCTCATGGTCCCTGTGTGTGTTGTAAAGTAGTCACCGCTCCAAGCTCACTCCCGTGATGGACTACAATCTCAATACAAATGAGTAAACTGGAGCGAGCTTGGAGCGGTGACTACTTTACAACACACACGGGGACCATGAGTGTGTTCCCCTTCCTCCAGAAGGAAGGACAGTGCAGCACCAATTCAGAGATGAGGACCTACAGATGAGTGATACACAAATAAGCTAGATTGTTGTTAATAGTTAAGGTACTTGAATGCATTTTTAAGATTTAACTCCTGAGTTTAGTGTCCTCAGTTTTGAGTTCATGGCTTTTGTCTTACCATAAGCTTTAGTGTTGAAAGAGGGCTGTCTTGTGTAAATGTATTGCATGAATGTGGAAGCTGTTGTTGTAACATTCCAACAATTCCACAGTGCTGTATTTTTATTGTATTGCATTGTGTTGTATTATGTATTCTTCAAAACAAACAAAAAAATAAAAAATAAATTTGTTTAAGAATAAAAGAATGCAAGACAGCAGGGTGTGTAAGATTGGGTGGCAACAAATAGATTTAAATATCCACATATAAGTGATATTAGAATATAAACAATAATATATGTTACCTTACTGGAATGATCTTTAGACAATATAGTACTTGTTGATGGCAGCCTATACACATGACAGATTCATAAAACGTGTATGTCATCATTGACTGATTGATACTGTACATGTGTGAAGATACTCACCTTAGCAGAGCACCACAGACAGCTGGGATGAGATTTGATACATTCTGAGCAGGATAATGTGTGTTCACAGACATCTGTAATATGATAAAAGACAAATACATGTCAGTCATTTAACACATGTGGCATCTTATTTCAACATCAGCTTCCTGTACTTTTCTTATCATGATGCATTTCTTGTCATGCAAACAAATACACACATGTGGTAACACATAATGTACAAATGTTAGGTATCCTGTGAGTACCTAGCAAAAGCTGATTGACATCTCCCAGCAGCATAATAAAAGGATACCCATACAGTTTTAAATAATAAATAAATAATAAATAAATAATAAATCACAATATTCATCTAAAAATGCATTATAATAAATATGCAAAACCACAAGTAGAGTGCCAACCAGATATTAAAAAACAAGACTTTTCTTTTTTATGCTTGGATAGTATGTGGCCGCTTGCCAAATGTCACATTCACCAAAGCAACTATGTACATTTACTAACTATTTCTACTTAATTTGCTGGTCTTAAAGTAGAATCCAAACAAAATGTTTGTAGTTTTGCAGAGAGTGGGTAAATGCTTAAACACCCGGCAGGTTGTTTTTGTCGTTTTTGTCTCCATTGGGGAGATTTTCCCTGACAAGCATTTACATGTCAACCATCTGTGTGTTGTAGTGCACTGTGTTGAAATGGTGCATGGTCCACTGGTAGCTAATTCAAAAGGAATGGGCTACTTAACGCAATGAATGCCACACATTAGACACATGTGCGTTTCCCCAATGCACTAGTGTGAATGGTACTTCCAAGAGGCCCCCTTGCTTTTGTACTGCAGTATTGCTCTTTGGTCACCCTTAATTCCATGGTATTGTACTTCAACTCCTAAAGTGACAACAGTAACTGATGTGTGAATCTATACAGGAGCAGTGTTATCACCAGAAGATGTGCGCTCCTGTTTATATACAAGCTGAAGATACTACCAGACTGACTGACCTTTTCAAAGTCCCTGTGTAATGACCACCTAAACAGTAACATTTGCAAAAAACGAAAGCCAGCTAAGAGCTTTGCAGCATCGTGCATACTTTGATCATAAGAGGATTTAAAGAGGGTTTATTTATGCTTTAACTGGTACATAATCAGCATAAAGGTTGCTAACCTGATGAAGCTGCATAATCTGCGGAAAAGTGAAAAAGGTTGAACTGATGACTCCAAGATCTGTGACGTAAACATAACTGGTATTCTCCAATATTTACTAGCTTATATGAAAAAAAAACATTTCTCCCATTGTGAGTAAACCCTCATTTAGAATGGCATTTAGAACTTGCTCGCAGCAGAGGTGTTGAGCCATGTTGATCAGCATTGATCAACACAGGCTCAATGCAAGAAAAGATAGAAAACAATTGTTCTCTATGTGCCCTGTTCATTAAAAGAAAAAGTATGCACTGCGATGTATTGTAACAATGCATGGCACCACTCCTACACAGTGCATACCAGTGTGTGCATTATACAGACCATATCGTACACCTTTTGGTGTAAATGGGCCCTCATTGTAGTTTTCTAAAGCACTGTATATCATAAACAATTGGGTTTTATTCGCTAAAATACTTGCTTATACCTTTTTATCATCCTATGTTTTTATTTGAGTCCTGCTTATCCTTAAAGTCTTTTTGCAGCCACTTGTAATGCAATGGCTGCATAGCATTTCTCAGGGGGGATTTCCTGATGGTGACAACAGAAGCACAATCGTGAGACAGGGACAGAGGTTTGTCATCCTATAACAGAAAGTGCTTGAAAAAGGACCTGTTTGGCAGGATCACCATGGATTATTTAATTGAACGCTGCATATTAAAATATTGAAAATGACTTTTTAAGTTACATTTACAAATTAAAATTTATGTGAGTTATGTGAGGTTTTGACTTTAGGGGTCAATTTTTTTAAATGTTTTCCCAAAACTGTCAACCAGGATTCACATCTTTTTCTCAACTGAATCCAATCACAAAAAAAGTTGTGTGAAAAACATAAAAAGACAGTGTCTAAATTGCAGCAAAGGGCTAAAGGAGACCGTTGAAAATTCATATATACAGGCAGTCCCCGAGTTACGTACACCTGACTTACTTATGACTCCTACTTACAAACGGAGGCTATTTCTGTACAGCAGGGGGAGTTGTATTGCTACCGTGCTCGTGCCGACGAGGCGTGCCCGCCTTTTTGGGTCTGGCTCGTAGTACTGTACATACATTACAGGAAGGTGGCTCTTGTTAGACGTGCAGAAGAGGAATGCCCACCTCTTCTTCCGGGTCACTGTGAGGCAGAGGCGTAACTGGGAAACCTCAGGGCCCCGGTGCAAGAAGCCATGAAGGCCCCCCCTGGCGCGATGCGGAACATTGGCCTGCTGGGAGCTGTAGTCCCAGAAGGCAATGTCGGGGGCCTCGGCGGTTACTGGGCTGGGCCCTCTTCTTCCTTTCCGAGCCCCTGGGGGTATAACAATGAAGGCATGCTGGGACTTATAGCTCAACTACAACCAGCATGCCTTCATTGTCCCTATACACCCCTCCACATCAACCAGGAAACTACAAGTCCCATCATGCCCAGATTTTCCTTGTACACCCCCACATATAAATCACCCAGGGAACTACAAGTTCCGGCATGCAGGCCCCCTGCAGTAGTTCACTGGGTGATATGTGAGAGGTGTACAGGGACAGTGAGTGCATGCTGGGACTTGTAGTTCCCTGTATGGTAGAAGGCTGTTTTAATCAATTCCTCATTAAAATACTAGTAATACAATGGCATTATAGTGCAGTAATTTTCAAGTTCAACTATATTCTATTCTATGTTTCTATAATGGCATTGTATTACTAGTACTTTCATACTCTCAAACTACCATGGGGGAAAGCGGCCGGGAACATCCAGGAGGGGCTCATTGTAATATCAGGACGGCTGCTCCTGGGTCCTCGTGGCTGTGTTCACTGCGGGCCCGCCCGCTTTACTGCTGGCGACCGACTCAACCCCCTCCCACTCATCCGTCTGCCTTTGCGCTCGGAGGAGCCGCTCCATCGGGCCCCCGCCAGTTTCTCCACTGCCGCGGGGCCCGTTCTTCCTTCCTGGGCCCCCCCCCCAACAAGTGGCGGAACGCCAGGGCCCGGTCGCGCTGGCGACCGCTGCGACCATGGTAGTTCTGCCACTGCTGTGAGGTTTTTACTGCTGCCTGTATCCTCATTAGAAAGATTTAATCTCACTTCCTGTCCTTGAGACAACAGGAAGTAAAAGGAAATCTACAGCTAAGATAGGAAAATTCACTCCTGTAAGAGTGATCATGGGAAAAAAGTCTCCACTGAAGCTTTATCACTCCATGAATCCTTGTTTCCACGACAACCCAAAATTTTCTAAATCCAATTGTCACAGGTACAGAAAGTGAGGTGAAATCTTCTGAACAGGGGCACATATAGCAAAACAAACTTTACAGGGGGCAAACCCTTCCCTATGCTATCCAAAACATAAACAAAACATTTTGGCTGAAGTTACACTTAAAAAATGTACCTACAGTTCCTATGTTGTTCGTAACCCGGGGACTGCCTGTAGTGACATTTCTATTCACGTGTCACATCCTGACCCTGTGGCTTATCCCCTCCAGTAATTCATGTCTGAACAAATCTTTTTGCAATACTCATTTTCTTTTTAAATAACAAAATACTGTGTGACCCATATGGAAACACTGCACATACCAAAACTGAGACCCCACTTTGACATACATATCTTTCAGCACCTGTGTCTTCCTCATTCTCACACACTGTCTGCACCCACTCTGTCTCTCACATACAGAGATCAATCTCTCATGCGGTTTTACATACAGCAAATAATGAAGATTATTTCCCCTTTTCGAAAAAGGAAACAAGTATTTTTCGCAAGCTGCTAAGCAACCAACGCTTTTGAAAACTGTTTCAAAAATAAATGTCGTTTCCCACAGACTCAGAAACAAGTAGTAACTAGCCGCAGGTTTTTGCAGTGCCAAGGAAAACAGCCGCATGTTATAACAGGGCTATGCAAACAGGACTCAGTTAAAAGATACCTTTGAATGAAATATGGATTATTGCTGACTTCCTTGTAAAAATACTATATGGCTGCATAGTTACGGATTCATTGCCTTCTGAGCCACTGACCTAGAACAAGCATGCAGATTACAAAGTCAAAGTGAAGCTAGGACTCCTGATCTACCTACTTGTTCCAGTTCTGTGCAATGGAATATACTAAGCCATTGAGTTGGCCAAGTAAAATATTTAGGAGAGTAGTTAGGTGGGATAGGTGCTTTGGGCTTAACTGTTTCCCCCGAGGTGCAATGCTGCAGTTCCACTGGGTTGGCAATGTTGGAAAGTGCTGCAGAGATCCTGTGATCACCAAATCATTCCTTTGTACTTTTAGTAGTAAACAATGCAGTCACATAGCTGCCACTTACTACTGGCGCTAGAGGGAGGCTGGCATAGGTCTTCTGCCATGGACTTTGGGCACCATCTCGCAGAAGCCTCTAATTAGACACGGAGTTCTCATGAGATCTGGTGGCCATCGTGGAGGACACAGAATAGTGTGAACTGTGTCACACTAGGGGAGACCTTGGAGGGAAGTGTGTCTAAGTAGGGACAGGAACCCACTTGTCAGGGACAGATAAGGCACCGTCTCACCCTCCTAGTCTGGGGTGGACTGGAGTGGAAGGAAGGGGATAGAGGAAGATTACATCCATCTGTGGAGGAGATGTCCAGTTGTTTACAGGGTTACTACTGACCACTTACAGAAAGTATGCTTTGTCTAATCCTCTTGTAACAGCTGCATTCTGTTCTGCATTAGTGTCTTCCATTAACTGTGTCTTGCTGTTTGAGATGTACTATTGTAGAATTAGATTGCTATTGTTCTAGCTGTTTGCCATTGATAAAAGCCAACCTAAAGGAACCTTCATGTGACTTATCTCAGTACATCTCCTTTAAAGTGTATGTCTAGCTTTTTCTTTTTGCTGTCTGTGTCCTGTTGGGGAGATTTTACTCATGTCCCATTCTAGCGACAATGTTGTCACTCTGCCAGGAAGTGAGAAGAAGGAAGTGATGCTTTTTAAATTCAGACTAGATCAAGTTCAAATCTCTGCAGTATACAAAAAGAGCATATGCCCAATATATTTTATTGAGTGCCCCAGGTCTCCTTAGCAGTACGGGCTGCTGTCATCACAAGTATAATCCTACAGGCAATCACACTTCAATATTTGCTGACCTTTGGTTAGATATCTTGTACATTAATTTGTATTAATTAGTAATTGCATTATCCCTCACAATTATCTAGAATTGTATTTTGTACATTATTTTAAAAAGAGAGATGATCATCATGTTTTTTTTTTTTTTTAAATATACAAAAAAAGGTTTATTCGCTTGCCTTGTCACGATATTTACACAGAAAAAAACCCCAACAAATACCACACCGGGGACACGCGGCTAAAACATGCAGCGCTCTGAACCCTTTAGGATAACGTCGTTATGGCAGAGGGTCGCTCAGGAACCGTAGTTGGCCTCACCGAACGCCTTTCTGGCACGTTTCAGTTCCTCATTCATGGTGAGCAGATCCTTCACTCTGGCGAACTTCCGTGGGTCCTTCCGGATCAGGAACACGATATCCTCCACCTGGACCCGCCCCTGGCGTCCGATGGACATTGCCTTGTGCATCATTTCGGTGGCGAATTCCATCACCAGGTCCTCCAGAATGTCCACCGATTCTGTATACGGGGTCTGATCGTCTCCGAATCCATACATCATACAGCGCAACTCCTTAGAGAAGAGCCTCTCCTGCTGCCGAGTCCTCCCTCCGCTCCTCCTGCCGTTTCGTCGTTTTCCTCCTCGAACGTCTGGTCTTCATCCTCATCAGCCATCTTTACTCTCCACCCTCTTGGGATACACCACTTCCGGGTAGACCAACATGGCCATGATCATCATGTTTGATGATGTACTGTGTTTCTACAATTACCTTTTTTTCATTTCTCTCCTTCATTAATTAATCAACAATGAGATGATACACAATAAACTTTTAAAACATAATATAGTTTATCTACTTTAAAATGATTGTACTATTCAAATGTGTGTTTAAAAACAATGATTTATCTGACTTGTACCATATTGAAATGAATGTATTATTTGATTCTTTTAAGCAATAGTTAAACATCTGACTAAGACCACAGGTTATTCTGGTGATAGTCATTTGCCCCTACTTGCTTTTTTGGGGGGACAGATTTCACAGTACAGGTCATCTTTAATTAGAAAATATAACATTAAACTGTGTTTTATGCACTGACTTTGCAAGGTACTCTCGGATATCCTTGGTACAAGAACTTTTCATTAAACCCTCATTCACACCTCTGTGATGTGATAAGAGACAAGAGGTGCAGCAGGGTGCACTTGTGATGCACTGCGGTAGGCAGCCCATTCATTTCAGAGGACATGCAGTGCAATTTGTTGTGTGCAATATCCTGTTTTTGTTCATTAAAAAGGGTACATTGTTGGTCAGTGGCTTGGGCAGGCACTCTGGTCTATACGGGCCACTGTGGAAAAAGCTGCAGCCACAGGCACCAGTAAATATAAAATCTTGCTAGTGATTACGCTAGTGTTGACTGCCTAAAACTAACATCACAATCTTAGGATTCCACCGGCAGATACTGATTTTATTTTAAATAGTTGTGATAGCGGAAACCCTAAACTACATTGCCTATTCAGAGTATTCAGAGATGTTTTTAGCCCTGGCTAGGGCTGAATTATCAATTGTGAATGACTTTCCCTCTTTTCGAACTTCTCATCAAGTATTCATAATTATTCATCCCAGTATTTTGAGAAAATTAGAACATCTTCTGTGATTTCCCTTTAATATAAAAATGGAAATAAGGGCTTCTACTGTCTAGTCAGGTCCAGGAACCTAAATACATGGTTTATAGGGTGTGTGGAGTGTAAAAAATGTAGCAAATGCACATTTCATTCTTTGTAACGTTTACTTTATCTCCTTTCTATACGTGACAGCTCCATCATAAACATACAGGTGTTTGTGGTTGCCCTCAATATGAATTAAAAAGAAATAACGTTTTTACATTTAGAGTGACTTTGGCATAACTTCCTTTAAACCTAGACCACAGTGCAGACAGTTTCAATTGTTCAATGTCTGCCCATCATATAATATATCCCATTACTCATAATAATGAGACGCCGGAGCTGAAGCAGAAAGATCGGAGTGGGGGGAATCCAGCCCCTCCCCTGTCACTGCAGAGAGCCGTGACAGGATCGAGAGGTGAGCGAACGCCGGTATGTGTATGCTCACCTCCCGATCTACTGAGCCGACCTGTGATAGTCTCATTGTCACAGGTCGGCTAGAACTATGAGGTGAGTGAAAAGCACTGACCTCATAGTTCTCCTTTAAAATCCTTTTGACAGAAGCTAGCCGAAGGATCGGCCGAAGCTACGGCCAGATCCTTCGGCAGCTTCGTGAATAGACCCCTATGTAACTATGTAACTATGTAACTTTAATATCACTTTAAAAACCATATTCACCAACTTTAACAAATGCAAAATGTTTGTATTAACATGGTCTCATACTAGGTTTGTAGAATCAACCAAAGTAGTAAAGGCAGGTTACTTCACATAGTAAAAAAGTAACACTGTGTTCACTTTGAACACCCAATAATGTGACTGGGGAAAAAAAACATTTATGCGGCACATGATTAGTTGATTTAAAGGAACATAGCTCCCCCTTTTTACTAAGCAAGGTAAACATTCACTTCACTAAGTGAACAATCTCTACTGTACTTTTGGGAATTAGTTTATTGCCTGGCCAAAAAAAAACTTCACACATTCTAATGTTTGGTTGGACCTCCTTTAGCTTAGATTATGGCACACATTCCCCGTGGCACAGCATTTATTTCCATCCAGAGTTGCATTAAGTTTTCACCAAGATCTGGTAGTGATGATGGGAGGGTCGGACTACTGCACAAAGTCTTCTCCAGGACATCTCAAAGATTCTCAATGGGGTTAAAGTCTGTGTGAAAATGATGCCTCATGCTCCCTGAACCACTCTTTCACAATTTGAGGCCAATGAGTCCTGGCATTGTCATCTTAGAATATGCCCAATGTGCCATCAGGGAAGGAAAACTACCTTGTCATTCCTATACGCAGATCGTTTTCTGGGCACCTATGGACCTCCTTTAGCTTAGATTATGGCACACATTCCCCGTGGCACAGCATTTATTTCCATCCAGAGTTGCATTAAGTTTTCACCAAGATCTGGTAGTGATGATGGGAGGGTCGGACTACTGCACAAAGTCTTCTCCAGGACATCTCAAAGATTCTCAATGGGGTTAAAGTCTGTGTGAAAATGATGCCTCATGCTCCCTGAACCACTCTTTCACAATTTGAGGCCAATGAGTCCTGGCATTGTCATCTTAGAATATGCCCAATGTGCCATCAGGGAAGGAAAACTACCTTGTCATTCCTATACGCAGATCGTTTTCTGGGCACCTATTATCCAATGGAAGGCTCTAACCTATTTGCTTAGCTAAATCCAGTCAGTTTATAATATTGCATAGAATTATATTACCTGCTTGGTTCTCTGTCTTCTGCGTTCCAGATGTCCCAAGGATCAGCAAAAATCCAGCACCATAAATGAAAGCTACAGACTTCATATTCTGGAAGAAGAAAACATTTTACTTATGAAAACACATTTAATTTCAGTTTTCTTTGCCTATAATTAAAAAAAATATATATATATATAATTTTTTTGGAGGTGTATTCATACAATTATGAATAATGTGGGGCTGGTGTTGAACATTCAAAGTATCCTGTAATGTCAAGTGAACAAATAAATGCAAACTTTGGAAGAGATGACCTCAGAGACTGTCATTACTTTGAGATTACAAACCATGAGGAGTTGAGCCACATACCCTGAATACCCTGAAGGAACTAAAAACGAATGCTGCAGTGTTGCCTATAGCAACCAATCAGCCTCTTTATTTTCTAAGCTGCTACATGAGGTAATATCCGTCGTAAGCTTATATTTTATCCAGTAACAGTAACCAAATATACAAAATAACAACAATTTAATTCTGTACACATTCCTATAAAATGTGGTAACACTAGTGCTCTTGATTCTGTGGAACAGAGCATTTATTTGAAGGAACCTTATATTAAATACTGAATCCATAGAGACGACAGTTGTGTTGTTTATAGATTTTATTGTGGTTTTCTTAAATATAATGTCCCACAACCACAAAGCTTTTATGCTTTCACAGAGGCTTTAGATTTCCTGACACACCTAGTGATAACTCAAGCATTGCTTTCATTTCATTGTCTTCTAATATACCTTCACCTAGGAAGGAAAAAAATCATAGAGTAGAATAAATATAGGCACATGCACAAAGGGAGTACTAATTGGGGACTTGATATGATGCTTTATAAATGTAGAATCTTAATCATCTCTCCATTGAGGATCATGAGCTCGCCAAATGGATAACTGAGCATAGGAGAAGACAAGTGGAAGAACCCACTTCCAGCAACCCTTACGACTGCTCCTGACAAGGCTTTCATGACAATAGTTTCTCAAACAAACGTATTTATTAAATGTATTGATATAGTCCTGACACTTTCTGCACTTCACAAAGAATACTAAACCCTACACATCGGTCTCTGCCTTACTATATAGTTTCCTTTCTACAATTAAACACACATTCTTGGCCCGATATACCTAATAATAGGTTTTGGAAGAAAAGAAGAGCAGAAAAAAAACCCCACAAAAAGATGGAAACCTCCTGTAGATAGTGTGAAGCCAAAACCCCAGTGCTGTAAGGTAGAATGGTAAACCCTTGCCAGCATGCTGCCCTGATCATGTGTAAGGTTTGCCAGTTTATTTCATGTCCTGGAAAAATAGCCTGGCTTTTGAGCGGTTTTGCCTTTAGCAGCTGCCTTGCCCTTAAAGTGGAACTCCAGGAACAAAGCACTTTTTCAAATGGGATTGGCCCAGAGAAGTCATGTATAATGCTTTGTCAACAATGTCCGGAGAATCACCGGGGATGCTAAGAGTGTTACTTTTATTCCTGTATGATACCATTGTCAGCCCTGAGCTTCTGCCAGTTCCGGCTAGTGTACAGCAAAGATGAGAGTCACTCGCTCTCCCCTTTCCTCTTATCCAATAACAAAAAGCCTTGTATTTTTATTTCACTGAATGCAAGGCTTTCTGTGAATGGACAAAATAAGAGAAGTGGCGGGTGAACCACAGGATCTCCTCTCATCTATTCACAGAATGCCTTGTATTCAGTGTAGAGAATACAAGTCTTTTTGTAAATGAATGAGGAGAGAGGAAAGGGGAGAGCAAGTGACTCATCTTCCCTGCACACTAGCTGGAACTCACGGAAGCTCACGGCTGACGGTATCATGTAGGAATAAAACTAACACTTTTAGCATCCCCAGCCACCCACCAGAAGGGCAGAAGGAGTGACTCTTCTTCACCGAACACTAACAGGAACTAGTGGAAGCTAACGGCCATCAGCATTATCATGCAGGAATAAAACTAAAATTTTCAGCATACTTGGATTCCCCAAGGCATAATGTGCTACGTTCACAGGCTGGGACAATGCCCTGTTACCTGGGAGAAGTTCATGTACCGTGCCAAATGGCTTGGAGAAGTGTAGGTCACGACAGGTACTGTATGCAGGAGCCGGTGCTGTCCTTATAATGAGGAAGTCTGAGGCTGTAGCCTCAGGTGGTATCTCTTTGGATCACGTAGGAGGAGGCTGGAGTGTGCCAGGTTGCAGAGCATCCCAAGCTGCTGTGAGTTCTTAGAAACCTGGAATAATCTGATCGGCGTCCCACCCAACCCCTTACAACCAGTGATGTCAGTGAGCTAGGCGGGACGCTGGCCGGAGCCAGAGGTAATGTGCCCCGGTAACGTGCGCCACCAGTGTTAATCTACACCACCCTCACTCCCCCCCCCAGCCTCAGGCAGCGGAAAGTCTAAGGACACCACTGTCTGGAGTGACCTTGTCTAGTGACAATCTAGAAGCTGGGTCTATTCTTAGCAGTGGTCTGGTCAGGGCTGGTGGCAGGTCAGGGTTACAGTAACAAAATCCATAATCCAGGAAAAGGGCAATCAAGTAACAATTAGCTGTCTGCAGAAAACTGCAGGAGCAGGCAGAGACAACAAGCCCAGTCAACCCTGCACAAGGAGAGAGAGCAGCAGTGACTGGTCTTTATTACAGGAAGCTCCTGCTCACAAAGTGCTGGAGTTGTTTTATGATGGATTACTGCACACATATGCAAAGAGATACACAAAGGACAGAAAAATTCAAGTAAGAACGCACATGTCGCTTATATTTAGACAAGATTTGTTTAGGTCGGATCCAGCAGCCACCCTTTTAATTTTCTCACCCTCTCTTTTGGATTTACATTGGTCAGTAGCTCCCAGCCTTCACAGTGGCCATTTATTTGATCTAACTTTTACTCTTCTCTGCTGCATTGTAACTAATTTTCAATATTTCTCACTTCCTCCTTTCTGATAAAAGAAAACCTCTGCTCTCCTAACCAACAGCCTCCACCCAAGTCATCAAATTAGTTCATAACAAAGTTACTATCTGAATTGTATCCAAATTATAAATCAGCAGCCCTTGTAAACAACACAACCCAGACATGGGCACCAGCCGACCACTCAGGAAATACAACTGAACAGCCAGGTTAAAAAAAATCCTTCACTGCTTTCTACTTTACACTCTCTGTTGAAAAAGTATTACACTCTCAAACTGTTTTCAATCATACATCCAGATCAAACAAATATACATTGCCCAGAAGAGTATTTCTTTACATTGTTGCCCAACCACATACAGTCATCATGTTTTCAGTCAGCTCCAACTCTCTCAGCTCTCTTCCTTAAACTTCCTGTCCAGTATAAGATCACAATCATGCAAAAGGGCTAAGGGCTATTGTAAAAACAAACAAAGAATGTCAGCCCCCGATACTCCTCTGCTATTCTCCTTTAATCTGCATCAATACACCGGCAATTGCTGACACGTCTCCAAACGGTCCTAATCATAGCTATACTGATACTATGTAAATGTAAGCTTTATGTTTAAGTGAACCGCCCTATTCAAGTGGAACTCTTGTACACGTACTAGCCCTGTGAGTCCATCTACTCATGGCTGAAGCTACTGTGGGAAGGTGGGCACCTGGTAAGAGCTTAGCTATGTCCTTCTATTTCATACATCTCTACAGCTGTCAATGACCTTCAAAGGGGAAATCAAGTATATTTTCATTGATCGTGCACATTGAGTTATTATTTCTCTGTTTCTTTATGTGACTTTCAGGTTTTTACAAGCTTGCTCCAATCTTTTTCCTGTCATGTTACACATAGAGATGTCACTAGAGCCTGAGTAGAATGATCCCTTCCCTACAATCACTGTGCTGACAATTGTAGCCACACAGGGAGTGTACTGTTTTCGACTGACTCATAAGTTGCCATCGCACATGGCAATTTGCAACAATCCAACTTTCAATTCCATATTTTGTTAAAATAGCACAAAAAAAAGATAAGATTGTTGTTTTATTGTTCACCTCCACAGTTATTGTGAAGTCACCTCCACAGACTTTGGTGGGCAAATCTGATTGCTTTCAATGACATTGCTGTTTTTTTTTCCATTTATCATTCAAAAACTGTATTGAAGCTGCCAATTTACAGCCCAGTTTTGTCTTCAGAATCAGCAGAATTCTGTGGTTGATCTAACTTGTGGGTGGCAGATTGCTTTGTTTCTGGTGATTACTGGTGAAATTGACTTAAAATTGTAACATTAAAAACCGTAAGTATTCTATTCTACTGATACTGGATCTGGCAGGGGAACTTTTGGGAGAAAGTCTGCTTGGTTCCAGGCAGGGCCCCGCAGTGAAGATCACTTGAACAGGGACAGTGAAATACTTTCACCTGGAAGCGGTGAAGTTTTGACACAGAGATTCAGAACCCTTGAGTCAGAGGAGTGGAGTAGGCTGTTGAAGGATCCCTTATACATCTAGTGGATCCATAGAATCAATACACTGACTGACAGATTCCTGCAAGATTCGGGCAGATGAGGCCGCTTTTTGAGGAAACATGGCATGGAGATTCTAACATTGTAAAGGAGAGGATTTAAGGGCTGAATTCCTAGGATGCAGATTCCTGGTGAATCTGGTGAGTGGCTAGGAAAGATTTAGTGCACGAAGGTGGAGCACGCGGAAACATCTGATTATTGGAATTAATTCATCCATGCAAGGGTGTTTTCTATGAATTTTAACACTATTTTTATTTACATTTATTTATTTATTCACTATTTGTACATGATTGTTGTTCACTGTATTTGCAACACAGATCTACACGGATTCATTTATGATCATTTAAGATTCTCCACTGCACCGGTAGACGGAGAGAAGGGGGTAGATAGCGCAGTGCACTTTGTTTTATAAAATTGTCACATGTATGGCCAGCTATAGACTTGCATTGTGAGACGTAGCAGTGAAGCGTGAGGATACATAGAAAAATGGTTATACGCAGAAACAAGGTTATCTAAACTATTAACACACACTGATAACAGTATTGACATCAAGCTGACCTCTTTTACATGTATATCTATACAAATCATTGAGTTAATGTCAATATGTTCCCCTTCACATA